GATGTGTTATTCTATAGCATACGTAAATTTAATGAACCAAATTTTATCAAACTGTGTCCTCCCCCATTGCAAACGCAGAGCTTGAGTATAACTGCAATAAGCATTTTTATTTATATGCCAAACCCAAACAAAGGACGGGTACTCTGCTAGTTATTTTAATAAATTTAACCCCCTACCCTATACCCTTGGTTCATAGCGGGAAGAGAAGAGGACGCAAAAGAGAATAGTCCTCATAAGCAGAAAGGGGTCAATATATGATATTCGTACTCGGTACATCTGGTCACATATTGGTCTAGTTAATGGGTAAAGCTGTGTTTACAACTAAATGTTTATGACTTTAAAATGTTTAAAACTCTGGTGTCGATGCGATTTAAAACAAAGTACTGCAAACATCATGTTTACAAAACATTTTGATATTTCCTGATATCTTGTGGAAGACTAGTTATTTGTGCAACTAGTGAGAAAAGTGAGCAATTGACTCACTCGAGAGAAATCCTTACTCACGAGCCGTAGGCGAGTGAGGAATGGTTTCTCGAGTGAGGCAATTGTACTTTGAACTCGAGTTGCACATTATACTTTTCCTACAGTTAGAGGCCTACCATAAAACAAATAAATTGGTGAAGAAACATAACCTATTTTTACACAGAAGTGAACTTTCCATATAACATTCAATGTGAAGTGACAAATACAACAGTACAACAGCTGACCAGCTGATTTACAGCCAGTGCTGCCAACGTATTTCGCGCGCATACGACGTTGCCTGCATGTTACGCGATCACTATTTCGTGCCTTCTCGTTGCAAATCTGGAGTGAGACAAAGTAATTAGAGTGAGACAATGTTAACATTGTCTCACTGATGAGCGAATTGGCCACTTTGCTTTCTCAAATCAGTGAGAGAACATGTACATTGTTAGGTAACTGTAGGAAAAATAATGTCTAAACAGTTGACACTGAATTGACTGTTGAAAACATCAAAACAGTTTTTTGATTGTTGTAAACTATAGAGTGTAAAACATGTGTTGTAAACTTGTATTAGGACATCCCTAGTCCTTCATAGGTTGATGTTAGGATTGGTCCTGCTTTACTAGAAAATAAACAACACATTGGCTTGGGGTTTCATTTTTGAAAGATAATATTTTTTCACAGTATATAATGTAAATTAACAGTAATAATTATGAGATTGGTATAAAATGTTTTAATTATAATTTATTTACCACTATTGGCCATTCCCATAAATAAACAATGCCAGAGACTCGTTATGACTGCATATATGAACTTCTAGATCCTTCATTATTAATTTTAATATAATTGGTAAACAGAATGGGTAAAAATGACAACTATCTTTTTCTATTTGAATATAAACAAATTTAATACACAAGTGATTAAAGCAATCAGATATCCAATGTACCTTTTTACAATAACAAAATATAGCGATTAAGTGAAAAAAGATTTGGCTATACAGACTTATTATGTATATGGACATTTTAAGTAAAATAGAATTGCATTTAGAAAATAAATAGAACACTAACATTGAACAATAGACTTTATCACAACACTTATTTACATTAATTTCTAATTAAGTTATATAGTTGAAAAAATATAAAACAGAAATTATTAAAAAGTTGGGTAGTTTAGAAAAGTATTACAGTAAGGCTAAAGATGTGTTTTAAACTAGTTTTGTCTTTAGTTTAAACCGAGCTTTAGATAATATTGAAAATTATAAAAACACCCAGTTCTAAGATTTTTTTTTTAAATAGTTCAACAATAATTAACATTTGTTCTAACCCTACATATTCAACCTAATTAAACAATAACATTCATTCAGGAAACTGTTTTTTAACTAATTAGTACCTATAAATGCAGATCTCATTAATTTTAACTAAAATATAAACAGCTAAAAGAATTAATAATAGAAAATTCAAAAAACTTTTGATAAAACTTGGAACTGCAGTTTATAACTGATGTCAAATTACATGGAGTATATGGATGGAGCAAAATTTAACAAAATTGCTTGTGTTTGAATAGGGTTATTATACAGTCAAATTATACAAACACAATAATTAGCCTATATTAATGTAACACAGCTTTACAATATTAAGCTTGCAAAAAAAAAGTTAAAAGCCAAATTAAGGATTGTATTGAACTAATGAAGTGGCAATTTGGTGACAACAAAATGTGGTTAAATATCTCAATTTTTAAGCACACTGAACCAAACACATTCTGTGGAAAAAGATTTTTGGTTCTTGCACAAAATACGCTCTGCGCTGAATGTACTCTGTGCTGTAGCAAACTGATATTTATGGTTTATTCTAATCAAACTTGTAGGCCCCGACCTCCTCTAGCATTGGTTTAGCATTAGCGCGCAGGTCGCTTTCTAAGCGGCCGAACTATAGCTAGATAGCTGAGTGGTTATAGTGCTTGCCTACTAAATGATCCTGAAAAAAGTCAGAAGTTTTTTGTGGTTCAAAACTATACCCAGCTGCAGCTGTAATGGACTTTTAGTAATAGGGAGTTAAAGAATCAAGTGATTTTCTTCAGCAACAAAGCTATCATCACATCCATTCCACACTTCACTTTAATTCATTACTTTTAATTGAAACGGCGACTGTACGAAGGTACCCAAGTAAGAATGGAGATGAGTGGCGCGATCTTGTAGTCTTGTTACTGACTAAGGCCGACATGTTCCTTAGACAGGACTGTTAATTAATAGCCCATACAGCAAATGTCATCTCTACAGTTTACAGTGGAATCTGAACCACATTTTTGCCTAGTAATTTACAAATTGGTCTAATTATCAGGATAGTACTGTGGATAGTCATAGTACTCACTAGTGTGCTCGTTAATCCACACCAGGGAATAAATATCCACAATTCGTAACCTCTAAGTAGCTGGATTACAGGACGACGCCAAAGTCCCACTCATCTCATTATAGGCAACCATCCCTGTGTGTCAACCTTGTATAAATATAGTCTGTGGAATTTGCGGGTTTATTTAAAAGTATGGTCCAAACACTGGTTACGTTTCTATAAAGTCAACCTGATACTAGAAAACAAAAATGTATAGCTAATAACCAGTTTTAGTTAAGTAAACCATCATCTTGTAAAGAATTGTTGAAAATTAGATGCTCAATTTGAAAATTTAGTATAAGTAAATTTGTAGCACTAAAACATGAGGTTTAAATAATTACCAATAACTAGCACAAATGATATTTGTTATAATAAAACTAGCAACATTCACATTAATCACTATAACATTGGCTACCGTCAGATCATAAAACCACAGACAGTATTTTAACATTTTCAGAGCCACCCAAGTACTTGCATTTGTTTATCTGTAACAACATATTTGTCAATGTACACTTACACTTTATTTTTATTAGAGTAGATTTAACTACTTACTACACTGCGGCAGTGATGGCAAGTTTCTATGAACAAACTAGCTTGCTATTTTTTGAATACAGTCTTAAATTAAGTGATGTTTTAATAACTCTGGACTTTGCTTCAAATTTACGGGTTATCAATTCTAAATTACACAGTACAACACAGTATTAGCAGTAGATAATACTTTACAACACAGTGAATAAAGTGGTTCATTTTCTAAAATATGTGTAATTTTAAGTCTGCACATTTATGTGACAGAAAGTAGGTTTTACTTGATCCTAGGACCTCAGCTCCTTATGTTTGCTTTCAGTTTGACAAAACCTAAGTACCGAATATGACATTTTCTGGTGGGTTCTCAAATTTTAATTGTTAAGCCGGCTCCAGACATGCGCCATTCGCAAAGCACGAAATATTTGACGTTCGGCAATCTAGATTTCTTGCTATTCACCAATTAACGAGTAGACGTCTACACACGTGTTGTTTTCCGAGCAACTGTTGTTTCGGGAATAGCAAAAATATTCGTTCACTTTGTTGTGTGCAAAAATATCGACAATGAATGGGAAAACACGAGCACGAATGTTTGCTGCTTGCCAAATAGACAAACACCTATCCACACTACTCGCGATTCGGCGAGTCGCTGTTCGGTGCTTGGCGAATGGCGCATGCCTGGAGCCACTTTGAGGCAAAACCGAACACTGAAACACCAAATTTCACATGCGAGGTGATCCGAGGACAAGAATAATAGGATCAAGTGCTGGAAAATCACTTTCGGTACAAGTAACAAACTATACTTTTCATCAAAACACAATACCAGTTTACGCCTATTTCTGTTTACATTTATATCGTCAAACAGTAAAAACTACTCATAAATATAGATTGTAAAGAAACACTAGTGTGCATAGAGCAAAAACAGATGACTGGTTGAGAAGCAAGGGAAAATAAGATGATAGTTTTTCTCTCGCTATAATAAGAGCTCAGGAAGGAATTGTTTAGTATCGGCAGTCATTGAAAACAACTACTTTCTGTACTGAGTGGTGAAAAATGCTAAGTTTGTATGGACTAATTTCCGTGTTGCACATGACATGGTTAAGAGACTTTAAAGAGTAAGTCTGTTAGCACCAACCTGAAAATACATAAGCTCAAGAACTTTTGCCTGAAGACATTAGCTTAATTATTTTCTTTCATTTGGTTTTTACTTTTTAAATTTAACATATGAATGTAATTTATTAATTAATCACAGATTTATCAGTAAATAAATGACTCTGATGAGTCAAAGGGGTTTGTCAGACAGTAAAAAAGTACAGGTGGGAAGAAAAAGTTTTTTTCACCACTTAAAGGAAAAGATTGAGAATAGTTTGATTATTTAAACTTTATTATTATTATTGTGTAATCTTCTTTTAGCAGTTTTCTGATCCTAATATGAATTTTACTAAATTAGACCCAAAATTATGAGTGTTATATTAAATCAGAACATGCATTTAATTGTGATAAAAATCTGGCAATATTATTATTTTAAACAACATAGATTGTTTATTTTTTATTCCGTCATGTATTTGTAATATAAAAAAAAAAAACATTTAAAATCAAAGTTTATATACAAATATAACAAAATCAAAAATATAAATAATCAATAATCATACAAAAATTTAAACAAGAAAATAAAATAAGCAAACATATTGTGATAAAAAACAAAACAGGTTTACACCTACAGCGTTTTACCTATAAATATTTTTATTTTAGTTTTACAATAAAGCATTCACTGAAAATTTATATATTACCTACAAGTATCTATATACATCTATGTACATGTGATCTCTATACAAAACATAATACAAAACACCTAACACTAAGTCTACCATAAATATTTAATTATCATCACATAATACATAGATCAACTTCCCAGAATAAAAACTGGTCGAGCACCCAGTGTTCACAAATATAAATTACAATAGATGGACGCTTTAAGCTGTAGAGTCTTACCAAATGGTTAAATACTGACCAAGACTATCGATAGTTATTTACAAGCAATTTGAAGGAAAAAATTAACAACTTAACTAAGAAAATGAATTTTGATTCAAAAAAATATATTTTAGAAATGAGTTGCGTCTTATTTTATATTAACTGTAGTCAGTCTGATGCCCTCTAAAGGGCCGGTGCCACTTAAAACTATGTGTCGATGTCCTCCTCTCGCTGGCTGGAGAAGTACGAGACGAGGCCACCGAACTCTCCACTGCCTTCCTCCTCATTGTAGGGTTTACTAGTCTGAGGGGTGGTAGGAGGGGGAGTCGGTTGTTCGCTGAACTGTTCATTGTACTGTGGTTGCGGCTGTGGAGGAGCGACATAGTCTTCTCTTGCAGGAGGTGGTGGGGGATAGCTGCCGTAATGTCCGTACCCGCTACTGGACACAGGCGGGGGAGGATAGCTGCCGTACTGTGGTCGAGGAGGGTAACCTGGCGGCCTGGTGTCGAACCTGTGCTGCGGATGATACGGCTGCGGTGGTGCAGACGACGGTGGTTTGTTCGGTATGTGCATGGGACTGCTGACCGGGTGGGCTCCAGGTTCTTGTTTTACATTGATGGGACCCCCACCAGAGGGTGACGGGTCCATAGGGTGCGGGTGACCCGGGTGGAAGGGAGGCCTCGGCATCCTCTGTTGGGGATTGTATGGTATCCTCGGTGGGTACTGCTGTTGGTAGTGAGACGGAGGGTAGGACTGGGGCTGCTGAAGCATTCCTCGGATGACGCTTCCTCCTGAAGGCACCATCATCTCCTCCTTCTCTCCTTTCTTCCCTCTCCCACGGCCCTTCCTCGAGGCCACCTCCCCACCAGTAGGCATATTACTAGGCTGTGGTGGCCTCATCCCCATAGGCATTCGAGCGGAGGGAGGTGGTGATCCTATTGGCATTCTGGGACCCAATCCAGGGTTCATAAAAGTTGACTGGAGTGGTCCAGGAGGGTTAGCCATCAGCTTCAGAGGAGACACCACTCTGAAATACATTGGATTGTTGAAAATAAGTTGTTATTGCAAGTCGGCTTGTTACAAATAAGATTTTACACATTTATCATCAACAAGTCGATTCAAAAGATTTTCGATTCGAATCAATGCAACTCGATTCAAAGTAATACAACATTTTTCTATTCATACTTGTCAATGGAGTTACAATAATTAATATTTACCACACAATGCAAATTTTTGTTGACATGGTATTAAACCTATTCAAACATATGACATGATTTTTTTGTGAAAAAATAGTTATTTTCAATCATACATTAGAAGAACCTATATTGCTGGAAATGTCAGTGTGCTGCTTTACTTGCCTATTTCATAATTTTTGCCAGCAGAATCATATTGTCATATGTTACCTATTTTATAACATTGATTTTATAAATAAAGATGTGTTTTGGTGCAAACAAATACAAACATTCAAATATTTATACTGAAACTTTAAATTAGTTTACATTGATAATAATTTATAAATAAAAAAACTTTTTTAAATCAAAACGTTTTTAAACGCACTAAAAAGTAGAAAATAATTTATAAATATATGTGGAGGGTATAAATACTTGTAAGATTTAAAACGAAAAACGTGGGGTGCATGCAATTGATGATTATACATTAGTTCAAATAGGTGGAGGTAATTGTAAATTATCTATTGCATGCACCCCACGTTTTTCGTTTTAAATCTTACAAGTATTTATACCCTCCAAATATTTATAAATTATTTTCTACTTTTTAGTGCGTTTAAAAACATTTTGATTTAAAAAAGTTTTTTTATTTATAAATTATTTTCTACTTTTTAGTTTTTAATGTGTGGATGTTAAATCTATTTCAAGCATCTATATGAGATTAAGACAGGAGGCATGTGGGAAATCTAAGGTTTATTTGCGTTTATTTTCGTATAATTATGTATTAGATTGAATGTATGGCCTACGATGTATTTTGAATGTATTTTTAAAGTGTATTTTATGCAAGAAGTTTGTAAATATTAGTTTTTAAATAATGTGTAAATAGTATGATAATATGCCACTGACGCAGTCTATCCGACATTGTCGGTCAAGGATTAAGGACATAAGTATCAACTATCAAGTAAGTAAGTACCTACTAACTATAAATATATCAATCTATTTAATTTATTGTTTATTTATTGAATACTAAATAAATAAAAATTGATATTATTAGCAAACACATTTATATCTGCAATCAGATTGTTTATCTTTATTTGGAATGTTTGTTTGTATAAAGAATCTCTTGGGAGCATAACCTGTACCTCTTAACGTCTGTTCTTCGAACTGTCAAATTTTAGTATTTACAGCTGACTTAAATTTGTTGATATATTTAATCTTTCAAAATGTAAACAAGAAAAATTTGGAAGCCCATGGGGCGTAGTCCAAGGGAAATATGAAAATTAAATGATATAATATTGCATTGTCATCCATTTGTGAGCTATGTTTCAAGTTTCAAGTCTCTAGCTCTTTGGGAAGTATCAAAATTTGCAAGAAAGCGAATTAATAAAAACAAGCCCATGGGGCGTAGCCCAAGGGAAATATGAAAATTAAATGATCTAGTATTGCATTGTCTTCCATTTGTGAGCTATGTTTCAAGTTTCAAGTCTCTAGCTCATCGGGATTGCAAAATTTGTACCGGACAAGAAAGCGAGCTAATAAAAACGTTTTAAAATGAGAGGATAGAATCAGACCTACAAACTACAGGGTATACATAGCTTCAGACCTAAACAAATACCAAATTTATCAGTCTAAAACACCAGTCTTACTAGTTTAGTATCAAGTTACAATTTTTAAGACTTGTGTTATTATTAGAATGATTTTGGAGTGACTTGTTTTGGACTTATTCCCCCATGAATTGAATAGAATTTTTATATTAAACCGGTTAGCTTTAATTTAGGTTGCTAAACAAATTTGAGTACCAAAATATTAGTTCACTGCTTTTTAGAGGTGAGTCTCACTAAATTTTTGCAAAAACATTTGAATCCACCCACCCCCCTCTGCAAAATAACTAAAAAGTTTGTATTCTCATGTTCTTAGTACAGCTCGGGCAGTGTAGGTGGGAGGAGGGTGGAGGTAGGAAAAAGACCAGACTGCAAACATTTCAGCTGCCTCACGAGGTTGACCCCCCTGTATCATGTACTTGAGCGCCTTCATATGGGTCGTGAGGACAGTTGATGCAACCCGCATGACGGGACATAATGTTTTTGAACTAGATACTAGTAGCGATCGGCCAAGTGCCAGCTTAGATATCACGAGCTGTACCTTCATGATAACCTAACACATTTAAGAAATCACAAAATATTTGTTTACTTTATTCTATGCTGATGGTAACAAATCTGTACTGAATTTACCTTAACAGAGGTTGTGTAGGTTGTGTTGTAGGGGTGGGCTTCTGGTCTGTGGCAGGCTGAGCAGCTCCTGGACTGACTGACTGTATCGTCACTGCTCCTGTCTGTACAGATGTTAACTTCTCCATCTGCTTTGCCAACTTCCTCTTCTCCAGTTTTTCTTCCATTCGAGCCATTCGCCTTGCCACTTTCTTAGGTATTTCACCTTCTTCTAAAACATCATCCTCCGAGTCATCTTCATCTTCCTCCTCTTCTTCCTCTTCAATCTCATCCATTAGATCTTCATCGTCTAAATCTTCCTCGTCACCTCGAACTTCAGTCTTCACATTTTTGAGTGGAACATTAATGGATTTCCTCGCAGTTGTGGAATTCAAGGGCATTATATTTCGTTGCATTTGAAGCTGAGAACCATCTGGGGGGGAAGACAGAGATCCAGAGTTTGGAGATTTAACTGAGAACATCGACATATCACTTGTAGGACTTCCTAACGTGGGACTCTTTACTCCCGCATTTACTGGAACTCCAGAACGTATTTTTATGGGAGGATTACGTTTCACCAATTTAGGATCAAAAGAACTATTTGGAATCTTGATGGGAGTTACAGGTTGAGGTGGTTCCATAAAGTCTTTTGTTTCCGAAAACTTCTGAGGGTAATCGCTGACATTGACGGCTTTGGCTACGCTGATGTCACTCATGTTGTGTCCGATTGTTGCAACTTTGCTCACTACAGCTTTGTATTGCTCATCCTCAGAGATCAGACGTTCAGGGGGAGGAGCTATCATGGCTTTAGGAGGTCTTCCCCTCCTGCCAGGTGGTTTACCTTTATTTACCGCTTTCGCAGGAGCAACTTTCGCAGGAGCAACTTTAGGAGGAGTTACTTTGGGAGGCGACACATTATTTGAAGGTATATTCAGTGGTTTTGCCACCTCCTTTTCGTCTGTTTTCAGGTGGTTCTCACTCTCTTTATTTTGAATGATTTTATCTTGGTTTTTAACTTCCTTGTCATCCTCTTCTGATTCATCATTGTCTTCTTCTGAACTCTTTTCTTCATTTGCTGACTCTTCTTCTTCACCTAAAAATTATTAGCAAATTATCTTCAAATTAATATTTATATGATGCCTAAAAGGTAAAATTGTAATAATTTGAACTGTTACCTATCATCCTTTATCCATAGGTGTGACCATGTCAAAGTTGAAAGAGGAAAAAAATGATCAGGACAGGAACCAATTATTTAATTTACAATGACAAAAACTAAATTGACAGTCAAACTAAAATCACATTAAAACAAAAAATTGCAAGCTACATATTTCAAATAAAAAACCTTTGACACTGTGATTCTATTAACAAAATGCACTTAACCAAACGATGAGCGGAATTTTAGCAGATGGTCAAGGGCAGTTTGCACGGGTCGGCTAGTTTTACATTAAAAATAAATTGTTACAGGCAATGAGTTTTGTTCAAAACATCTCAAATAAATCTAATAGAAATGTGAAAGTTTAAAACAATGATATTTATTTAGAAAAGGAATTATATAGTTTAACAATAATTATAACTTTTTGGAAGGACCGTTAATCGGTTAGCCAAACTGTCAGTTTGTATGGTTTTTAACTTTACTTTTCTAAACTTACCAAATCTTTTTCTTCTGCCAGCTAATAACAAAAAATTGAATAAAACTACTAAGTCAGAATAAGCATTTAAGTACAAACAAATTACATCCAACACAAGTTACAACAACAGTAATTATTAATTAACTGTTTTAGGCTACTTTATCCAAGCCAGGCAAACGTTCTATAATTTTAAAGTATCACAGAAAACGGCATGCATAATAGTTTAGATTTTTTAAAATTGTTAAGCCTAGTAAATCTTTTATTAAATTTTTTAAAGTTGTGCATGGAGAGAAGCGTATCCTATTCTTTGTGTACTGAATAATTTACATTGAACAGGTTATGTATGTAAAAATAGAAAGGAAGAAATCCTGAAATCTCATTAAAAATTTTAAAAAAGAAACCTACACAGTCAAGATTGTTAAGACTTGGTATACTACTCAATGGTACTACCTAAACGATTAAGGATAGAAAACTAATATATTTTGTAAAGTAAAAGCAAAATTCTATGAAAAAAAAACACAAGTTGATCACTCAGTAAATTATTAGATAAATGCAGAGTACAATACATTTATGTTTTTGACAAACCTACATCAACTAACATGTGGTTTTCAATTAAAAAAAAATGTGTACTGCTGTTAAATAACCAAAAATAGTGCACTGCTGTTAAATAACAAAAAAATAGTGTACTGACGGGACATTAGGAGTTACAATATGTTATGTTACAACACAATATCATCACTTAGCAAACATTTACCTGAAGTTTCTTGTTTTTCTTTTTCAGCATCAAACTCATCATCATCCTCAATAACAGCTTTCTTAAAACTCTTGGTCTTCTGAATATCCTGTTCAAAACAAAACAATTTAAAATTAAGTAACAGATATTCAGTATGCTTGGGTTCTGGAAATTAACTGCTAACTGAATTATCACTCTTTCAAACTGACACCAAAACTGATCGTAGGTTAAGACGATTAAGCGTTCAATTCTGCTTACCGTCTTAACTTAAGACGGTAAGCAGAATTGAACCAAAAGTAATATAGGTTTAAATTACCTGTTTTCTGTCAAAACGATCAGTTTGGTAGTATGATGACTACAGCTGTTTCATGCTTTTTAAAAATAGCACATCTTCAGGTCCAGAATGTCTTGCTCTTCCCTCATGTGGAGTTCGTCAAAAATATAAACAAAGGACCTGAAGATGTGCTATTTAAAAAAAGCATGAAACAGCTGTGTAGTCATCATACTACCAAACTGATCATTTTGACAGAAAACAGGTTATCTTACTAATATTATAAATGTGAAAGTTTGTGTGTTTATTGTTTGAAGTTCAATCACGCATTAACTACTGGACGGATTCGGCTGAAATTTGGCATGATGATAGCTCTTATTCCCGATTAACATATAGGCATACTCTTATCTCAAAAATCCTTTCGGGCTCCGCCCCAGTGGCTCTGTAGTTTCCCATGTTAACCTTATGAGTATTCATATTCAAAAGGAATTAAAGAATTTAATCAGCTGTTTCAACTAAAAAAGTTGGTTCTATGATATGCAAAAGCATTAAAAGTTATAAGATTTATCAACAGGGTGCAGCACTATTATTTTTTTATTTATGAAAACAGCTAATTTGAACCAAGCAGCAACAAAAAAACCGTGATACGCAATGAGAACTGTCAAAGTTGGATTGTTTACAGTTATATTTATGTCTTTTATTTCATGAATAATTTGTGATATTTTGCAAATCTTTAATAATTTATCTTTCTCTAATGGTTTAGCTGAAGTGGTAGAACATTATGGCTATGGTAGATGTGTAATACTATAGTAAACCGTAAATTTAAAGAAGGAAATTTGATCAAACTGTGTCCTCTCCTATTGTAAACGCAATGCTTGAGTATAAATGCAATAAGCATTTTATACATATATGCCAATCCCGTACAAGGACGGGTACTCTGCTAGTTTAAACCTATATTAGTTTATTCAGATGATCTAGAGACCACTCCATCACGAACCAAAAGATGGATCACTTGCATAAACCAAGTAAATCAACCAGGCAAACACTTTTCCATTTTGTTTAAGTTACAAAATTTTTAGACCTAATCTATACTCTCTTCACAACTAAGAAAAATTCACAGGGTGTTCAGTTACTAATGCCATCAATAGTACTTTATTACACTTTTATGAAGAACAAATCTATTTTATGCATTGTAAACTGTTTCTACATTTCAATATGTTGGTTGCTTTTTACAATTGACTGAATGTTTGCAAACTGATAAAATTTACTTATGCAAATAATAAGGTTAAGAAAAAAACAAGTCATAAAAATAAGGTGAAATATAGATCTTGGTACAACTCAAAAATGTCAATGTAGGATTTTATTTTGGATACCTACCTCATCAGAATCTGTTCCTAAAACTTCTACGTAGTTAATTTTTTTCCCACGAGTTCTTCTGGAAGGTAATTCCTCAACTGCCAAGTCATCTAATCCTCCATATTTTATCTGTGAATAAACAGATTTTTACTATTACAAATGTTTTGCATTCAAGCTGACATATTAGTAACGTACATATTAGTAACTATTAGTAATGTACAATCTAGGATCAACAACTTCACTTCTAGGGCTTGATATTGGACGTGTTAAGATATTTAAAGTATAATATAATATATAGCCTTTTATATAGTACTAGGTGAAACCCGTCGAAATCGACGGTTACTTTCAAGGCTTACGATAAATTGGGTGAAATATATACATATTTTGAGCATTTAGCATTGTTTAAAGAGTAATAAGTGTAAAAACAATAATGATATTAATTGCGTTAGTTGCAAAATTGGGTTGATCATTCAATGATTAAAATATTTCCTATAATGTACGTCATCGCAGTTATTATTAGTATGTAATATGGTATCCCTTCCTTTGGAAGAACCTTTAAATAGTATTAAAATCGTATTGGTGGATCTTTTGTAGTTAAACACTTCCGTCTTCCGTGATTTCGTCAGTGTAATATGATTTTATTTGAAAAGAAAATATTTTTTGGGAAGACATATTCTAACTTCAAAGGGAGGTATATCCGTTACAGCGGCCTCAAAAAATCAACTGTTATATTCAATTGTAGTGAAATCAAATATTCCTTCAGATAAGTCTTATTTGTTTTGTTATAAAGGACATTAAAATATTGTACTGCACATTCAAAACAAAAACAGTTATCTGTGATGAATACTTACTTTTCTCTGGCGTTTCTTTTTTGGCGTTTTGGAAGATTCTATATCAGACAACTCATCCTCAATTGTAAATTTTTTACTTTTTTGGAATTTCCTCCCTCGCGATGAATTAAAACCTTTCCTGGAAAACACCATATCACGATTGTAGTGAAATAGCTTTTATACATTTTTGAAAAAAGAAGTGGGCTTGAACTGGTGAATCGTTTTAAATTAATTTGTTGCAGACTTACAACCAATTAACTACCGATAAACTGTTGGGTGGCATCAAAACTACTAAAAAGTACTTACTTCACTTTTTGGTTAGGCCTATTATAATGGGTAAAATCTTAAATTAACACTTCAAGTTAGAAGTGATCTAAAGCTTTTATTGTGAGTCTGGCAAATGTCTCGGTCATTAAACAACGTCAGAAGAAAGTTGGAAATCTGCAATCTCTAACTAAACATCTTGGGCAACTGTTAGAGAAATATTTTTCAGTGCTGTTGATGACACAACTGTTAAAATTTTCATTTCATATCAGAAAAACTTCATGTCTACATTTTTACACTTTTTAAAGCACAATTAATTGTGAGTTTAATGTAAGAAAAGGATATTTCAAACCACAGCAACCTTTGGAAGGTGGGTGTCAAATTGGGAGAAACTTATCAAGAGAGTCGTTTAGGCTTATCTTGTTAAAAAATATATTTACTTTTTCTTCCGTCTACCCCAGGTCGAGTCGTCTGATTCACTTCCAGAGTCACTCCATAGCTTCTTACTTTTCTTGCTTCTCGGAGCATCACTCTCTTCACTGTCATCGTTAACTGTAAAAAAAATGTAATGAGCTATTTTAATCAATTGATTACTAAATCAACAACAAAATGCATCATCTATTATTTTTTCCCCTAAAATTAAATTGAACTCACAACTAACTGTAAATCAAACAATTTAATAAAAAACACCTAGATTTTTGTAGGTAAATGTGGAAATGTGGATCAGCGTAGGTTAGACAAGAGAAATGCCTAGAATTACATGTGAAACTTAAGTTACAAGTTGTTATTTTGCATGTACCTATATAGGCCTAGACAATACAAATAGTCTAATCCAAATCCCAGAAAATTGAGACCCAAATATTGAATCTAATTGTAATTTTTTTTTACACGTTCGCTACTGCAATATTACATTTTTTATTCATATGGACCAGCGACGCACTTATGCGACGACCGTTTTCTACCCACAGACTGTCGCAACAGCTCGTCACATTAAAATAGACTGACATCGCATATATGCGTCGGTGTCCAATGTAATTAAAAAGCTTGTGTCATCGTAACGGTCTATTTGAAAGCCCTGCATTTTCTGCAGTGGTCTACAGGGATGTCTGTCGCATATGTGCGTCACTTTTTCTGTGGATATGATGATTAGTGACGTCATTTTATGAGGGTTGACAAAACTGATTGGGTGAAGGACAAAACCATAGAACACGAAAAAGATAGGATCTAATCAAATGAATAGGAGTTAGGAGGGAGAGACTCATTTACAATGACTAAGAACAGTACACTTATTGTCTGTTAATTGGAGCCTAGACTGGTGTGTATTAAAAGTTATTATGAACATAATTAGGGAGTATTTTGTATATTCTACAAAAATATCATAATTTTCTAACGTTATGTTATTATATAAAGCCACCGTCAACTTACTGAATTCCTTGTCAAAGCGGGATTTCCGTGCTCTCGAGGATCGTCTGACAGGCTCCATGTTACCTCTCCTAGACTTTCGTCTTCCGCCACCAGACTCATCACTGTCATCATCCTCATCTTCTTCTTCTTCCTCTTCCGAACTGTAGACAGCGATTAAAATTAGCTTAAAACAAATTTGAACTAGTGAGAAACGTAGTGTTAATCTACCACTTGAAGTGCTTTTAGTTGATCTATGAATATATGGATGGAATTCTCATCTATATTAAAATAATTGATTGATCTATTGTAGATGATCTTTCAGGCCTTTAACAGCAATCACCCTTCAAATATTTGGTATTTAACAGAAACTCTTCTCTAGCTGTGTCCTTTGCTGCAACAAAGTCCACCCTTGTGGCTTTATTCAGTTGCATTCAACAATACTATGATCAGTATATGAGTAGACAAGTATAATCAGTGCCCGCGGAAAGTTTATATTACGCCTTGAGTGGGGATTAAGAAAAACAGGTGTTGCCATATCTACTTTTGGTACCCAGAAATTTCAATTTATTGACTGGTTGTAAAGTTAGCTTTTAACTTTACTTACTTTGTGTGTAGAATACTGTATACGATTTCACGTGATTTAACAAGGTTAAATGTAAACAAAATAGTCTGTGAATCTTGATTTAGCTAATTTTCAGCTCACCTAACCTCTAACAAATTAATCAAAATAACAAATTCTACTTTTGGTCCATTTGGAATCGAGGTCGTTCCATCGAGGTTGCACTGTAATTACATTCTTGCACCAACTAGCTGATTGTACATTAACTGAATCTCTGAACTGTCAAAATTTCTAAATAGCAATTTTTAAGCAAGAAAACAATAGTTATTTGTGTAACTAGTGGTGAAAGTGGCACTTTGCTGCACACGAGAGCAATGTTTACGCACGAGCCTGCGGCTCGTGCGGAATGATCTCGAGTGCAGCAAAGGCCTTTTTCACTCGTGTTACACATTATATTTTTCCTACAGTCACTATTAAGCATATAAATAATTAGTCTTTCAAACACTTTACAACACAATTTTAGGTTCAGCTGGCAACACAAATGGTGCCCTAGAGAAAGTAGTACCCGCGGTCCGTATCACTCCGCTATTTTTCCTCGGCAAGAAATGTGCTCCGCGTTTTGAGAATATAGTTCTGTATGTTTTAGTAATTTGAAGTGGTTTCCGCGCCTAAAAAAATGCTTTAAAGGTATTTTCTTGTTTATTAAGATCGTAGGAATGTTTTAAAAACGTTTAAAAGAAAAGTCCAGAAAGTTCAGAAATACCGAAACTATAAACACGAAATGACAGGTTAAATCGTAGTTATAATAGTCAATCAGCTGCTCATAGTATTATTATCTTGAAGTGTTGCCAACCTATTTCCAAGCGTACACGGATTACGTGCATAATAGAACCACGCTGTTTTGTGTTGTTTCGTTGGAATCCTGATGTGCGGCAAAGTATAAACCGTACGACAAAGTATAAACCGTACGGCAAAGTATAAATATGCAGCAATTAGCAGCTTTCTGTACTATAAACAGTACAAGGAAGCCCACTTTGTCGGGTGACTGTAGGAAAAAAAATGTTTATGTTTACTTTAATGGTTGAAAAGTATCAGCTGAATATTAAAAAGTAACATTTCAATGTTACTGTGCATTAAGTGATACTTGTTTAAATTCCAAGTAACAAGTTACCTTTATCAAGTAAAATGAAAAATTCCAATTCCTACCTGGAGCCTTTGAAGTCCTCGTCGTCGTCATCATCATCACTAGGATCGTCCAGACTATTGAGTTTGCGGTGTTTCTTGCGGCCCGGCCGGGACAGAGTTGTTCTTTTGGGCACCACTCTTGGAAATTCGTCTTCATCATCTTCATTCTTGCTGTCATCATCATCAGACGACTCCTCATCACTTTCCTCTCTTTTCTTTTTTGGTTTCTCCTCTTTTTCTTTAATCTGTAAAATCAGTAACATAGTAGTCTGGGGAAGATCATTTTTACTGTGAGTACATGTTGAAAGATTGTTGAGGACATTTTCCATCATTGATAAGCAAAATAGAAGTTACAATTTATGGAATCTAACCGTGTATTTAAGTGGAGAAAGAACGTGGTAAACTACATGTTTAGAACACAACCAGATGGCGCTGGATAACACAATAACTGGAAACAATAAATGTTTAGATATCAGTCCAAATTTAAACCGTAAATAAGAAGAAAAAAACAAATCGCAATAAAAGAGAGGAGATCGAACCACTTTGTCATCTTAACTTGATCAGAACCAAGGACAGTACGCCAGCTAGTGTCATTAAATTCTCACTGCCCTAAATATTAATTTCTCTCAGCTATTGAGTTTCCTGATGCTATCCACTTTATAATGTTCTATTTTCTCCACCAAGATGATGCATGAGTCAAGATTCCGAAATGCCTTGAAACTTACATTTAACTAACCACTGACGAAAAATAATAACAATAAATCTTTAAACCACATTACGAACAACAACCAACTAAATGCAGTTCTGTTTCATTTTTGCTAAAGGAATGACATTTGTCTAAAATAAAATATAATCCCTTGGAGGAACAATGTAAAAGTAATTATTTAAACTTTTTTATAAAAACGTAAGAAAATAAAGAAGAAACGTTTAGACAGCTGATCAAAGAGATTACTGTGGCTATACAGAAGGTCAAATTTTCAATACCAAGAATAAAATAAAAAGCATACCATCACAAGTTACTAGATTTCATTTTAAGCGCAACCATTATACACCTAAAATAATTGCTCTGCACCCTAGAGGCCAAACTCCAAGACCAAGATACTAAATTAGTTCATAAACTTACATCGGTTGTAGCATTTGCCTTAACCTCCTCGCCATTGATTTCAGCGCTACTCTGATTGGTCTGTGGCGTTCCTTCTCCCTCCTTCGGCAACACTGCGTCAGTTGTAGCAACAGGAGCTGGTAAAACACCACCACTACCCTCCACCTCTTCCTGCGTCAAAATACAATTGATTTCAAATGTATTGATCTTAATAGAAGACATAATAAACAGTGTTTGCCTGCAATCATGAGGACTCATGTTGTAGCTTTTGGAATGGTTGAAATGGGAACCAGCTTTCAATGAGTATTAATCTACATGTCCATTAGTATATTGCTGTCTAAAGGTCCATCTCACTGTTCTACTCTACTTTCACCTTAAACTCACCAAGGTAGGTTTGCAATGTATTGAATGAACAGGAAAAAAAAGTAGTCTAGACATAGCTTCTACCGGATCAAGTTGTGCCTAGCCTACAATCATAGGCCATGACTCAGTCTTTTGTTTTTTTAAATATGTGTCTCTATAATGTATCTACGTGAGTACCTAATTATTGTTCATGTTGACGATTTTCAAAACAAACAACAAGACATCCAGTACTGGCCTGAAGATGACTACTTTCATGAGTCAAAACTAGTTGCTCTATTGTAACAATCTGGATTGCGTAAATGCAGGTATATACTTAATTTTTTTATTTAACACATTGAGTGCAGTAAATATATCCATGGATCCTTCCCAAGGGCCTGAAATTATTTCTTACATAAAATCTTTTTTTTTGCCAGAAGTGAGGATCTAGGTCTGAAATAGTGTTGAGCAGTTTTTCCCAATAAAAATGGTGTCCAAAATCGCCGGTCACTGGGGACTGGGCCGACCCACGCAATGACGTTTGTGGGCATCATGATGGAAATATTCCGTTTTTGGTCTCAAAAACACTGTTTTTCAAACAAAAAATGTTGATTAGCACTATAACTAATATATACTACCCCTTCCTCCTTTCCAACCATTGTTTATTTCAATAACAGTGAATCATGGAACTCCTCATAACAATTTGGTATTGGGGAGTCCATCTTTATTAAAAAGCACATAAACTAAAATAATAAACCTTAAAATATATTGTTGTGACGTATAAGAAACAAAAACACAAAAGAAATAGGTCAATAAATGTCCTAAATCAATAAATTATGCAAGTGGGAATTTACCGGTCTCGGGAAAACACACACAGTATAGGTTATGTAATGCTAGCAACGCACACGTAATAACTCCGGTCCTTTCCACAGGTTGCGCCACACAGAGTGATTCATTTAAGAGCGACCTGGCCGGGCACAGGTGACCGGGCCGGCCTGGGAGCGAGTTCGGAGGCCGGTCCTCGGTGACCGCCCCGCACTCAATATGTGTTAAATCTACTTTGACCTCACAATACTACTGACAAACAAATGAATCTACACTTGATATACTAAATACACGGCGAGAAATAACTATACAATTTACAAATACTACACTGACCCGTATTGCAGAGTTGATGAGTTCATCGTACTCATTGAAGCGGTAGCTGGTGGTGCCTGAGCGTCGCTGTCGCAGCTGGTAAACAGGCTCATCTGAGTACTCTGACTCTGAATCAGACCGAGACGCCGAGCTCTCGGAACTCTCACTACCACTGGGCTTCTCCTTGGGTGGGTGAGCGTTACCAGGTAACACGTTGTCCAGACTGATGCCCACATACGCCAGCCGCTTCCGTCTCAACTCCTCGTTCTCCCTCCGCTTGGTATCTTTGTCATAGATTCTCAATGTTTCTTGCAACTTCTTCACCAACGTTGCCTGTGCAAAACCATCGGATTAGAAAATAATTTATCTTAAAAAGTGGAATTGAATTTTAAAATTTAGATTAATTAAATGTGTGATGTTTTTTCAGTGTCTTAAGTATTTCAAAGTCAGATACCAGTAATGTTAATTAAATATTTAGATGTTATGTAAGAAAAAAAGTTCAGAAAATTGTACAACCGTACAGAGATAATAGGTGGAATAGTTGTACAATCAGGTGGTATTGAATAGGAGAATGCCAACTGAGATAAATACTGAGTGGCAACATGGAACGGAAGCAACTCTGCAGAGGAGGTGGTGAAAAGAAGCGATATCAGATATAGGGGAAAGAAAGTTGACTGAGGTGGTCAAGATTTGTTAAAGAGACTAAACGACACATCCAATTATAATTGATCTAAAAAGTAAGGGACGGTAAAAAGTAGGGGTGTGCGAGTATTCGAACATCGAGCTTTTTCGAGCCGAATAGGACGCTATTCGGCTCGGCTCGTGATTTTCAAAAAGTTCGAAATGTTCGAGCCGAATACTTATTGAACTAGCAAATAAAAATTAAATTAATAAATAAGGAACTATAAGCACGGAATAAGCACGAACCTCAGCTCAGTCAAGACGCAATGATTATTGATCGTAATTTTGAGGAAACTACCACCTATCGCGTTGTCTTTCTAACACAACTATTCGTATCGTAATATACAACGCAGTGCGAGTGCGTGATTGGCTAAGTCGCTATGACGACACACGGTTGCCGTGGCAACCTACAGTGCGCACTGAGCACTGCGCCTTGTGTGGGAGGGGAGATTATACCAACAAACTATTTCAGGAATTCTATTTTGGGACGGATGAAAGATAAGGAAGAAACAAAAAGTGGTCACGTGTGCAAATGTAGTGGGCGAGACAATAAGGCTGTAAACGAGTATCACTCGTCGTGTCGTTCCTTGTTTGTTTACTTTTTCAGATTCCTTATCAAACTCCTTATCATCAAACTTCCTTATCAAAATTCCTTATCTGCTATCTCTCTTTCTCTCTCTCTCTCTCTCTAACAATGTACTGATTAAACAGATTGTGTTTGACGACTTTTCTACTTATAAGTTTCCCTGCGGTTATTTTAGTTCAATCAATCCCATAACCTTTCTAATGTTTATCAAAATAATTAATTAATATGTTTTGTATTTTATTTCCTTTAAACCAACCCTTATTTACCATCTGTATTTTATAGAATAAAATGTTTGTTTAGGCCTATAAAGTTTGACTGGCCACACAATTTTGTACCTATTTTATTTTGTATAAAGTAACAGTTACTTTGAGGATTATATATATATATATCAATAAGTGGCGCATGCTGTAATGAGTGCTTTTTATTATCAAAATAAGTAATGAGTTATTAATTTTTGATAGTACATGGGTCATTGAATACCATAATGTGATGTAGTTTCCTATTTGTATCGGGAGACGGACAGCGTCCCAGACCTTTGTTTGGGTTAATCCCCTGATTTGTGGCCTGAGGGTAGTGGTCACCGGAGGAGGGGTGGGGAATCGAGAATTCTGAATCCCACCGGAGGCGTTAACTTTTTGTCAAAGATTTCGCTTGGAATGCGATTACTTCTTAACTGTACATCTTTTGTTAGAATTTAAGGCGTTTATAATTTTATGATCAGAAATATTTTTCGATTAGTAAACCTTTGTACGATTTTTCCATTATCAGCAAGTTTGGTTGGTTTGGTTAGGTTATGACAGTTTAATTTTACAATAATTTAAAAATTGTAAAAATGAATTTTAGGCATTTGTAGTTTTATTTTATGAACAGAACTATTTTTTTTTACTAAACCTTCATTCGATTTTTAATTATCAGCAAGTTTGGTTAGTTTGGTTAGGTTATGACAGTTAAATTAAATTTAAATTTAACCGACAAACGATACGTTTTGACAGCGACAGTAATAGAGCTAACAATTTGAAGCGAACAGTTCGGCTATGCACGGTATGATGCGGAAGCGTTCGACACCAACCTAGAACTGACAGGTCAACCGACCGTGATTAAGAGGATTAAGCCTGGTGCATGTGCCTACACCCATTTGTATCTTGCAAATAAATAATAATTGATAGTTAATTCTTGAAATGAAAAATAGTGATCGCATTCATAAACCTGTTGTCAAAACAGCAACGAGGGTGTAAGGGTTTATTGTTTCAGACGCAAGGGTGTTTCAAGGACAAAGTGTTGGGCCACCCGGATTGGGGGGAGGGGGGCGGTGAGACTGTGTGAAGGGGAGGAAACTGGTTTTGGCTATTTATTGATTAGTTCGCCGACCCTTCTAGATAACAAAATTGAGTGACAGTGTTAAATCATCGTGTTCTGCATTTCATTTCTTGTTTACTTTGTGTGTTATTCTATTAATTCTAGTGCTTTGGTCTATTTCCTCTATATGTCAATTATATATTTTTTAATATATAAGTAAAACTTGTCTCTCCACCTTTTTGGATCCAAACCAACCATGTTCTTTTTTGATTAATAGGATTCATAAAACAAAAATATTTTGTGCATGGAAAACAACAAGAATAATCACGTGTTTTTAAATTTATTTTGTATTTATTTATACAAACATAGTATATTCATAGTAGTTACAATATACATATGTAATCGACTTGCTAGTTGTTTTGTCGTCATTCAAGGTCGCGTTGCTGTTCTGTTATGAAAGACAATCTAATTGTCTCAGTCTGCACTGCATATCTCTTCAGGCCTTCAATCGATATCCTTTTATTTCTTGCATCTTCATTTAGTTCAGTTCAGTTCTTATCGTGATTATCTACTATTTGATGTCTTGACAATTCTCAATGTTTTTAAACATATTAAAATAACATTGTGTTTATTTAAAAATTGACTGAACATTATTATTATTATGCACTTTTTTAAGAAAAAAAGTTTAATAATTAAGATAAGGTTACGCTAGGAAAAGCTCGGCTCGAAAAAGCTCGAGCTCGAACATTTTTTAAAAAGCTCGGCTCGGCTCGGCTCGAGGTTGAAAATCACTATTCGCACACCCCTAGTAAAAAGTTTTTATGTTTCTTTTTCTACTATACTTGTTGCATTGCAGTCTACAACTAAACTACAGCACAAATAGTCTGTACCATTGCAAATGGATATTTAGGACAAAATTACCGACAAAGAAAATTACCCATCCTTCGTAACATCGGCCTACTTACATGTTGACAGGGAGGGCAGTGCCAGTCTCCTTCTGGCACCAACATGAGTGAAGGCCGTAGACAGGACGCATGCCAGCCGAGGTTACAAGTGTCACACAACAATATCCACTCAGGGTGATCCTTCTTGCCACACTTCTCACACGCAAAGTCATCCAAGTCCTTAGAACTCTCCTCCGTCTCCTCAGTTGGCTCTTTGACTGCAAGAAATTATATTAAACTAAACTGTCCTTTAAAATATGCAAAAACCAAGGCTAGTTCGCTTTAGAATTTGTCTGCCCTCAAACTTATCATGCACATTGGCCACACTTATCTTATCTTATCACAATCATTGGCCACGCACGACAAATAAACAGACTTGACCAAAACATTTTACCCAACATTACTGTGAACGGTACTGTATTGCCATACCAAGACAAAGTTAAAAGTCTTGGTTTGACGATACACAATACACTAGACTGGACTGACACGGTGGTTAACACCTGTAAAAGGGTGTTTTTAAAGTTTATCATTTTAAATCCCTCAGAGTCTTTTGTCTTGACTGTGTCTCCATTAAATTTTCAATTACTCTAAAAAATCTAAAAAATAATCAGTATTCTACACGTAAAGTTTATCATTTTAAATCCCTCAGAGTCTTTTGTCTTGACTGTGTCTCCATTAAATTTTCAATTACTCTAAAAAATCTCAAAAATAATCAGCAGGGTGTCCACAAAAATTTTGTCATTAATTTCCCTGACTTTCCATGACTATCCATGAGCATTAACCATTGATTTCCATGACTTACGAACTTTACTCGAAAATTATAATATACCGCAAACACTTAAATAATACTGCCTAGACAGAAAATATTGAAATACGTATTAACAGATAACAATGGCGTACAACAGGTACAACAATGAACTAAATACAAACCCATAAACTAAGACAACTGTATAAATTGAATTATCGTATATTTGTGAACAATTCGGAAAAATGCTACAATAGTCGGGGTTACGGCCAACTAGATCATTGAAAGGACCCCTGAAATCCATCCATCATTGGTTATTTCCATGACTTTCCATGACTTTTTGCCTATTTCCATGACTTTCAATGACCAGAATTTTTTTCCATGACTTTCCATGACTATCCCTGACTTTCCAGAATGTGGACACCCTGAATCAGTATTCTACACGTATGTGGGAGATGACCGCAATATTTCTACAGTAGCTTAGTATAAACTTGTTATATCTATAAAAAATTGTCAACTAACACTTCCAACCTAAAACTATTTTAAATTAATATTTCAAATAAATACCTTTCTGAGCTGTTCTTGCCCTTCGAACTGGTTTCCACTCTTCGTCTGCTTCCAAATCCGACTCAGGAGAAAATTCGTGATCAGACTTCACTGGCAAAGGAAGCTCTTCATCCTCCTCCACAATGTCATCAAAATGGTCCTCTTCTTCTTCTTCAGCAGAACTGTTACATACATAATAGTAATTAAGGGGTTTGGTAGCGAGGCTTACCTGGATGGGAGAGAGACATCCTGTGGACATCCTGGCACAACAAATATTAAAATTGTTCGCTTAACATAAAATTGTAATTTTTAACTGAAACTGACAGTATTTTTAACCCAGGAAGGTTGGGGTTGGAAGGAATGTCTTTAGCAATGTTTAGAGTATAGACCCTTGTGCCCTTTGTAAACTTATTAAAGTAGATTATATTTAACAAAATATTCAGTTATGTCCACCACCAGTTGAAAAAAATATTTTCAGATTCCCTTCTCTTTTAATTATATTAATTCCTCTTCTTCCTGCTACAGTATTTCCTTCAACACAGCAGCAAAGCAAGTCATTTTGACATTACGATTAATGTAAATATTTTCAATAAGAAAATATAAATATTTGTTATGCTAAAGAATATTCAAGAGTGGTATGCACAATATGTTGCTATAGGCTAGCTAAAAGAATGTATGCTAATTTATGTCTAAATCCTGAAATGATGAACCAGAACAAATCATGGTAGCTGTGAAATCAAAAATACATATTTTACAGGCATCAACCTTCGAAACCAAATATCGTTATGAGTTGGTTTTGTCACTACCCATCTTCCAAAAATGTGTTATGACAACAATATTAAACTAAAACTAACAGATTGCATCCCACCTTGATCCAGAAGAAGATTTCCAGGGATCACGTTCATTAAATGCTTTTACTGGATGCTTTCTCTTCTTCCTCCTCCTTTTCTTCCTCTCAGATAAGGGTTCGTCCTCAGGAACATCGTCATCACTTTCTTTCTGAAACATGTACTTTGAAATAAATAAGCAGGCTAAAAAAATAAAAAAAATAAGTAAACTAATGGCTGAGAATGAAAAGTCAAACGTCTTTTAAAATTCCACAATAATTGAAGATCTGGTTATAAGAAAGACTCAAAGAGAATAGTTATTTGTGCAACTAGTGAGAAAAGTGAGCAATTGACTCACTCGAGAGAAATCCTTACTCACGAGCCGTAGGCGAGTGAGGAATGGTTTCTCGAGTGAGGCAATTGGACTTTGAACTCGAGTTGCACATTATACTTTTCCTACAGTTACCATAAGACAAATAAATTTGTGAAGAAACATAACCTATTTTTACACAGAAGTGAACTTTTAATATAACATTTAATTTGAAGTGACAAATACAACAGTACAACAGCTGACCAGCTGATTTACAGCCAGTGCTGCCAATGTATTTCGCGCGCATACGACGTTGCCTGCATGTTACGCGCTCACTATTTCGTGGCTTCACGTTGCAAATCTGGAGTGAGACAAAGTAATTAGAGTGAGACAATGTTAACATTGTCTCACTGATGAGCGAATTGGCCACTTTGCTTTCTCAAATCAGTGAGAGAACATGTACATTGTTAGGTAACTGTAGGAAAAATTTAAATCTTAATCCTTTTCAAATTGTCTCACTGCTTTTATGTCCATAAGCACTTTTACTAAATACTAAGTTACTGTCTGCTATTCATTTTCTACTTACAGCAATCAACAGTAGTTGTTGCTATTCACCTATTCCCGTCACGTACAATAAATACCACATGCTTAGCAATGGTTATTTTAGACCATTTAGAGTGTATGTTTTAAAGAATAAAAACTTTTGTTTATTTAGCTTGACTTAAAATTGTTTTCTGCTGAATGAATATAAACATGGATCCCCGAGCTAAAGCACTGAACTCCAAATTAAATACCTAAGGTAGTAATTATGTAGCATAGTACAAATTTTAGCTATGAATATCAACAATCAACATACATGCAAATCCCATCTTGTAGACGTTTGGTAATTTCTGTTGCTACGGCTTAAAATGTAAAAGATATCAAGTAGTAAACAGCAACATACAACAAAACAATAAAAAAATTACCTTAGTTTTCTTCTTCTTTTTGGGAGTTCCCTTGATTGCCTCTTCGTTGTCATCCTAAAAAAATTAAATTATTAATATTTCTTATTTATACTACTAAATTCTGTTTAGGGATTAATATAACCTAAACATATTCTTTTAGGATACCTTAACAAGCTGCAATCTATGTTTCACATCTTTCAAAAATTTCCCAAAATAACAGAAGAAAGTAAAACAGAAATTGAATTAACTTAGGTTAGTTTTTTTATTGAACAGGTATATAAAATTGTCATTTGTTGGCTGTTGTCAAGAAATATTTTAATGTTACACAAAGAGTAGGATCCCTAACAGAATGAAATGAGAAAAAAAACATGATAAAGATACAACAATGAGAACCAATAAATTAGCCTACTAAATTTGTTCATTGAGATGAATAGGAAAATAAGTAAAAAAAACAAGCTTGGCTGGGTTATTAGATAAAAAGTTTTAACAGAGCTACAGTATCTATAAATGTCCATTCCCGAGCCCCATCATTAAGAGCTTTACACAAATAATTACCAACAACTTAACAGTAGGCCTACCTTTTTCTTTTTATTTTTCTTCCCTGGTTTATCAGCATTCTGATGGTGGTCGTCCCCATGTTTGTGATCTGCTTGTTCTTTAATTTTAATTTGTGCGATGCGACTTGACTGTCTGACAGAACGGCTTGTATCATTCAGATCAATATCTAAATTGATACCTGAAAATGCTCTACCTGCAACACAGATTTTGTATTAGCAATTTTGTCTTATTATTTTATTTACTGTAACCTAAGGTTGTTATGCATAATAGAATAATTGGGATTTTTTTATTTTATAGTTTTATCCAACAGATTTTTTTATACAGTAGACTCGTGGTAAATCGAAATAGGAGGGTCAAGCAAATAAATTTGAATTATCAAGAGGTTCGATTTATTGGGAGGAAAAGAAACCATTCAAATGACAAAAAAATCATTTATTTTTTATTTAAGGTTCATTTTGTAATTTTGTATGATGCCTTGGTTAAGCAGCTGCAGCTTTGAGGTCATTTTTGGTGGACAATTTTGAAATTTCCTGTTTGACAAATGAGGTTGTTGTGTACTAAATAACTGTCAAGGAACAAGATATTTTTAATATTTTTATTTGGTATGCTTATTTAATGCTACTAGCCACTCATTGAATGATTAAGTTGTAATTCAAGCCTTTTTTTGTTTGACCGATTAGTTACAAGATATGACTGGATGCCCCATTATAACACCTGGGCGAGCAAACACTGCCAACCAGACGAATACTGCTCCTACTGAACACAACAAAGCTACTGTGCATGACAGGATGTTTAGTTTCTTATTATGGTGACTGGAATAAACCATTCACCTCCGTCCCTTCGAATTATAGAGAGTTCTGCCGATTAAACTTTGTATTACTGCATGTTCCAAATCAACCTGCCCTCTGCCTGGACTTTGAGATACAGAGTGTATCAAAATGCATGGTAAAACTTTGGAATAACAAAGCTCTCTAGGGACTGAGCTTTTATTTTGAATTATCAAACGTTTTGATTTATCGAATGTTTTAATTACCAAGAGTAGACTGTATTGTTATACGAAATCCAAAAACTGTTTTCATGTTTGTAACAAACCGCACTAAGTGCCCAACAAACAAGATAAAAATATAAATGCGGGATCGAGTGTTTCAGGCATCTATTTGGACACAAGTGACCAATTCTCTGAAAGGAGAAAGATATCACTTCTATTGTCAATAATATTCAATGTAATCTTAAGATGAATAAAGATTTATGATTCTTATATAGAAAGAGCCAAAAGTAACTGCGAAAGCCACACTAGAAGATCTCAGAGTGAAAAAGCAAACAAGATACAGCAAGGATAGTGAAAAAATGGTTTGTAGGAGCTTCATCTGTTTTCATTGAATTGTGTTGCGTTTTATAGTTTTTAATGCAGTTAAATTACTTGTGTAAGTAGCTGCAAAATAAAAGAATGCACGAGGAACATACTGATAAGAAGAAAAAGTAGGCCTAGTAGTAAAAAACATAAAACTTACTGTTTCGTCCCTTTGACTTCTTCGGTTTCTTTTCAGTAGATTCATCAGACTTGTCATCATCCTCGTCATTGACATCTTCATCTGTAATTTTACTGGCATCATCTTTCTTTGATTTCAAATTAGATTTAACATTTTGTTTTCCTTTCCCTTGGTTACTTTTGGCAGTTTTTGCACTTTTTGCTGTTAGATTGTTCTTAGCAGCAGGTGAAGTTTTAGATTCTTTAAACGATTTATTGAGTTCTGTGTCTTTATTATCATCACTGTGGTTCTCTTCTTCACTACTGGATTTGCAATTTCTTTTCTCTTCTACACCCTTACGCAAACTTTTATTTGGAGCTCTCTTTCCTAAAAAAAAAATAAAATAAAATAAATGTAGTCACAGGTAAAAAAACAAATCACATTGCCTAGAACAGATTGCACTAGATTAGGGCTGTGAAATTTAAGGCAAAGCACACTTACAACACTTTATCAACACATTAAATAAATACTATGTATTATAAATACCAACAACTTTAGCTCATGTTTATAAGTTAAAAATAATACAAAAACTGGTAACAAAAAATGTATGTAACTATGTTAAATTGCATTAATTGAAAAAATAAATTATATTGCTTTCTAAATAGTAGCTCTGAGTCTAATGAAGATGCTTTTCTGTGATGAAAAAGTAAGACTACTATTACTAATTTATCAGTTGTTCATTAGTCATTTCTCTTCAACCTATCTTCTCTACTGAAGAAACTTCAGGACAAAATATCAGTGTTATGTTTTGTGTTATTTTATTGTGTATCTGTTGGCCCCTGTACTTTAATTTTACTATATAAGCTCTAGCTGAACTATATCACTTTTCAAAAAATCCTAACTAATCAGTTTACATCAAGTAATCTAGTCATTCCACATGTTAAAGTTGTCACCAGTTTTAAAATCAAAATCGTAGCAGTTGAAGTGAGCCACCGACAGATAGTGCTGATCTAAATTACTAATATTCGTTGAATACACAAACTTTAGTACCAATTTAAACAAATAGCGTGACTTATTGTGAGCTAAAGCAACTGTTGTGACCCATCAACTTAGTCAGCAACAAATATATGGTAGAAAATATAATTTTAGACCCAAGCACATTCTGTGACTGGCTCACACAACTTTGTTCTTTTTTAATAAAAATTGGCGACAGCTGGTCCATATGACTACTTCATATGACTACGGCGTGACTACTTCAGTATATAATAGTCAATGGTAATACACACCTTTGACTTTTCTACGTTTTCCTCCGATTTCTTCATTATCCTCTTCAGTATTAGCTTTCTTGTCAGAGGCTAGATCTTCTTCAGATTCTTTTTCTGTGTTGACATTTTTGTGGCTATTCCTTCTCTTCCTCCCTGAAATTGGTTTTGCTTTGGTTTCTTTCTTTTCAGAAAGATCCCCTTCGTCATTCGATTTTTCTTTTTGATTACCCTTTTCTTCCAAATCAAGTTTCTGTGGACTATTTTTATCTCCAGGAACAGAACTATTTTCAGATTCATCTTTTGTTGGTTTATTTTTATTCGCCCTTTTTCTTGATTTTGGGGTAAATACTTTTCTTCTTGGTTTGGGAGATTTTTTTACTGGAGTCTTTTTTTTTTTAGCAGTTCCATCATTGTCTTTTGTTGAGGAATCGCTTTGAGCTTCATTTTCACTCTTAATATCACAATCTTTATTTTCATCTTTCTTTACAGACTCAGACGCACATTTTGGAGCTTTATTATCACTAGAAACTTTTTCATCTTTCTCCAGAACCTCAGATTGTTCACTCAAAGGATTTATTGAGGAACTCCCCTCATCATTAATCCTTTCTTTAGTAGGGTTACTAGATATTGTGCTATTAGATTTCACCTCACTTTCCAACTTAATTTTACTTTCTTTAATTTTTGATTTTGAAGTAGTTTCATCAACATTACTTTCTGCATCTTTCTCTTTAGACCGGTCAATTTTCTTTAAATTGTCTTCAACAGAACAATTTTCATTGGACTCTACTTTGCCATCTGGATCATAAGTATTGATTTTTTCATTAGGTTCTAAACTATCTTCATCCTTCTTTGGCAAACTCTTGTTTTCAACACTAGTGATTTCCTTTCCTACAGACGCTTTAACGTCATCAACAGGTTTACTATTAGCTTCCTTTTGACTTTCAAAAACATTTCCTTTAATGTTTGACTTTGTTAACAGGTCCTCAGGATCATCGTTTTCACTTGATTTACTTGTATCTTGTGTTTCTTTGTCTACAAAATCATTGGTAACCTTTAGCTCAGGCACTCTATCATTTAAATTACCTTTTTTGTCATCCAACTTTTTTTCTTCAGTTGAGTAAGGCATGCTGTCATCCGTACCAAAAATATCGTTGCAGTCTTTTTCTACTTTTGTTTTTTTAGCTTCCGGAGGAATTGATTCAGTGTCTACATCATCAGTTGAGTCTAATGACTTTCTCCTTGTTAATTTTTCAGATGTTTTAGAATTGACTTCAATGTCAGTTTCCTTCTTATTATCTGTATTTCTCTGGCACTCAGGTACTCCCTTGGGAGAAAGACCTTCACCCGTAAGGTCAGACATCTGTTCTTCTATGGACTTGTTCATCTCAAGCTCTGATTTATCAGTATTTGTTAATTCAAAATTTTCTAATGTATTTTCACCATGAATGGGTTTAGATATATCACACAGATTACCATCCTTTTTTGTGATCTCTAGATTGTTATGAGTACTATCTGTAACTTTAATCTGTGAGAATTCATCCAACTTGCCATTATCACTAGATATGCCATTGTTCAAACTCTTTTCAAGTAAAATATCTTCAGTAAATCTATTATCACTAGGTTCATTTTTTTGTGTTATTTCACTTTTATTGGAGGCAGTTTTATTCATATTTTGTGTGCCGACTTCTTCTTCGCTATCTTTGCCCGGATTCCCTGTATCACATTCCTGACCTGAACCTTCACCTTTTATTATCATTACAGGTTCTTCAATTTCTTCCCCAACTTCAGGTTCCAATTCAGGTTTAAATTCTTCTAAACATTGTTTTTTACTAGGCTCCTCACAGAGTTCATCCGCTTTTCTTTTAACTTGTAATTCTTTGCTGATAGAGTTGCTTTCTTGCTCATTAACATTACTCAAAACCGAACTTTGACTACATGAATCGTCATCAACTAAAGTTTTGAGATGTAAACTTGTTTCTTTACCATCTTCAACATTGCCAACTTTACCGATAGAATTTAAGCTACTCTGCTCCAATTTACGACTGAAAATTTGATCCAACTTTGAACCTGAAGATTTTCCAATTTTACCTTTGAATAACGGAGAACTGGTAGATTTGAAAAGGGATCTCTGTTTGATTTCCTCTGCAACATTTTTTACTTCATCAGAAGTTTTAGTGGGCAGCTGACTTATATTATTTTCATTGCCAACATAATTTTCAGTCTTTAAGGCAGATATTGAATCAGCTTGGTTTATATCTTTTTTATTTTCTAAAAGACAACCTTTATCTATTATCTTTTCCGGCTCTACTTCATCTTTGTGATCATTTCCATTAATGGTTGTCACTTCATGATTATTATCAAGAGAGACATCTGTGCACCTGATTGTTTGATCTGAAACTTCATCATTGTCGACTTTAACTTTGATTTCACACTTTGTGTCTTCTAAAACTTCTTTCTGTGGATTAGCAGTGCACTTGTTTGTTTGATCTGAAAGTTCACCATTGTCAATTTTAACTTTGGTTTCACTCTTCGTGTCTTCTAAAACTTCTTTCTGTGGATTAGCAACATTTGAAACATCACTTTTGGAAATTCCATTGATACAACTACTTTCTTCCTTGACTGGAAGTTCATTTTTGGAGGCAACACTGTCAACCGTGTTCTCCTCACTCGTTGATTGTTCAACTTGTCCAGTATCGATGATAGGTTTTTCAACCTCCTGGCTATTACTGTCTTCGTTTATCAGTTCCAGTTCAAGCAGTTCTTCACCAGAAGACAATTGTGTAATGAGACCAACCAGCCCTTCCCGATCTCTGAAAAATATAAAAACACAAGTGAAAAGATGTCCACTTTTATTGCAAATTATTAATTTTACTAAAATCTAAATTTTACCTTATTCAGATAAGCATATTGACGCTGTAAAATATTGTAAATGTTTACTGTAATACAAAAATATGGTCTACATTTGTGTTTGTAGAGTTCTCAGACTATTTTGTATTGTGTATTGTATTGTTTATTCAGACTGCAAATGCTGAAACGCTCTTTAAATACACAGGATAAAATATTTTAAATGTTTTCTATGGTATTGTGTTACTTACTTTGCCACCAAAGCCCAAGTTTCCTCGTCCTGGTCCTCTTTGTAAACCCTGACGTTAGCAGCAGAGTCAAACTGACACCAGTACGACTGACCCACCTTGTCTCTGCCCAGCGGCTCTAACCTTAGCTCTTCTGGCGTCAACTTGTTTATGTCATTCTTAAACTTGCTGTTTAGATCAAACTGTGCGTCTAAGAGAGTCTGAAACATGATTAAATTATTCACACGAGGTTCTAAACATAGAAGATTGTTGCAATTTGCAGGCTGATGCACTTAAAACCCACTACTTTAAATGTATCTGCCTCATAAACATCCGGTAAGCCCAGTTTACAAAAGATGGAAGATAAAAAAAGGTCCAGGCAGTAAAGGAGACTACTGCTTAATTGGAGACAAACATTAGCAACCTAGCAGTCTTGGGCGAGTTCCTACCAATACGCAAATTACTGGTAGACTATGCTGGAGTTTTTTAAATCCACTGATCCACTAACTTGCAAAAAAATGCATAAAAATAATAGAAAGCGGGGAAGAGGCAAGTTTTTTTGTTAAAAAAAATCCAACATTAGAACAACCAATTACCAGTATAATACACCTCCCCTTTAAGGCTGTGGTAAAAACTTCAGTATGAAACATGCCCCTAAATGTAGCACAGGTGTGTTACCATAAGAAGACATGAACGAAGTAAGCGATACTCTTGGATGCATGGGGAAACTGTGTTCGAGAACCACAGAACTCTGAGCAAGGGTCATTAGATGCTGCACTGAAAGCAGACTTGGCTTGTAGGGGTGTTTGGGAGGTTCAGATGGAAGCATTATTTGATGTATGTGTCGTTGACACTGATGCTCCATAGTACTTGAACCTCCCATACATACAAGTATTGGGGAATGCAGAAATAGAGAAGAAGAGAAAATACTTAACACTAACAGAAACAAGAAATGCTTCTTTCACCCCACTCATCACTTCTGTGGATGAAATGGCAGAACGACTAACAGAAAAATGGAAGAAACCTTACAGTTTAGTGGTGAACTGGATAAGAGTAAAAACCATATGTGCGACAATAAGGGCCAGCAGCATGTGTCTAAGGAGGACAAGAAAGAAGTGGAGGACCCTTAGTGAATTTGAAGATGGGGCTAGAGTACCGGCTTTTTATTAATTAAAATAACATTGTTTATTATTTTTCCTTTTAAATTACATGCATACCATGCAAAATAAAACTACATCTGAATGAAGACTGCTTCTTTTATAACATAACCACCCATCACCGGTCTTTAAAATAGTTAGCCTAGACTATATTAAACTGTTACAAACGTTTATATTAGCATTGTATTTAGGCCTAAATTAAGTTTTTCAGAGAATTGTATTAGCAACCTATATGCTGAAATTTTGAAACTCAATAACAATAAGTTTCAGAAAATGTTAAAACTAAACTAGAGCTCTATACACAACAAAGTTTGTAAAATCTATGTTATAGATTATTTTTCAGAAAATGTTAAAACTAAACTAGAGCTCTATACACAACAAAGTTTGTAAAATCTATGTTATAGATTATTTTTATTTTTTAACTAAAGTGCAGCAAAAACTGCATTAACATTATAAAGTACAAAACCAAGTTTGACTTCTTTGACAATAGGTGTACGGTAGTACACTTTTTATGATTAAAACTACAGTTAGTTACTAAAAACCTTTAATATTTGGCAAAATAGCCCAGTCAATAAATGTTTTTCATCGCAACTAAATGGTGGAAAGCTGGATTTTTTATATGTGATAGAACTACATGAGAGGTGTATTTTCCCAAAAGTCCCCACTTCTACCCCTTGAGCTTTCCCCCCCCCCCCACCCCCCTCCAAACCTAGAAATTGCAGTGTTTTACTTAATTGATCATATTTCGAATACTATGTTAGCTATTGAGCTGCAATTTGTTTTGTTTTATTTCTAATTGGTTTTCCTACAACTTTGGTAGTTATAACATTTTTCTAAAACCAATACTTAGGGAGATATAAAATTTAAACTTCGTTAAAAGCTTTGTTTCAGAGTGCAAAATATTGTTTTCCTCGATGTATACTTTTAAATAGAAATAATACGCAAATATGGTTCAGACAAAAGTTTTAGTACGTTTTTCAAGGTTTATAAATATATTATTGGTTAGTCATCTGCGTGACCGGGTGAAGAGCTGGGCGTCGGCAAAGAGAGCGCGTGCGGGCTAGTTGAACACCTCTGCGCTGCGTCATCGCATCTAGCCCAGCCAATAAACGCACAAACTGCCTTTTTTCGTAGATAAATAGTGGAAAGCTGAGTTTGTTATATGTGATGGAACCACTTAAGACGTGTATTTTCAAAAAGTAGCCGATTCTCCCCCTTGAGCTTTTCCCCCCAACACCCTCCAAACCTGGTAATTACAGTCGTTCACTTTACTGGATATAATTCAAATTCTATACATGCCATCGTAGTGAAATTCGATTAGTATTATTTATAATTAGTTTAAATACATTTTTTGTACTATAGATTTTTTTATAAAACTATATCAAAAGAGATATAACATTTTAACTTTTTTTATAATGTTTATGTTTTAGAGTAAACGTTTTGTTTTACCCTCTATATATTTTTCCCAATTAAAATACGCAAAATGTTTGAAACAAAAATTTTAGTATGTTTTTTAAGGTTTATGAATATATACTTGGTTAGACATCTGAACGAACTGATGTGTGGGGCGTTGGCAAAGAGAGCGCGTGCAGGCTTCTTCAAAGCATCCGCACAGCGCAGCACCGCCCGTCGATACATCGCGTCTTAGGCACCGACATCGATAAGTTCTCAAAGGTTGTATACAAATCCTAAGACTTTGTACTTTACTACCAAACCAATCTGTATCCAAGCTTAACCGTGAACTGCAAAAACAATTATTATTTAGATGGAACCCAATCATTTACTTTTTTATAACCAGTTTTGGTTCAGGTAAATTAATCTATACCTAATTACTTAAACTTGCAATACTCGTAATACTTAATTTCTTCATCTTTGACGAATGGATGTTTTATATAATAATTTATTTAATTATATCTGTCAACGACTACACCTATTGACAATAATCTACATGGATACATATTTTACATTACATGAAGCTGGGTAAGAATCATACTGAACCCAATGATGAGATGACCCAATTCGCCTATGGGTCTGGGGATGATTGTAGTGTCGAATCGAAATCTACCACCACTTGCCATCTTTTATGTATATTTACAGTCTTGTGAGTAACATTGTAAGTGCAAATTTATGTTTTAAATGTTAGGCGGTTAGACGCATTTTCTTTTATTTACTTTCCAATTAATTAATGTAATAAGGCATATATCCAAAAGTTATAAATAAGTAAAAAAAATAAAATAAAAATAAAACTATATTTGTGTCCCCATACATGCAGGCAAGACTATTTACGGGATACATACAGGCAGATTATTCAAATTTCCTTTCTCATCATATTGTGTAGATGTGTCAATCAAATTGTGTTTTGTCGTAATAGTTAACAGCAATGTATTACGAATCTGATTTACGGCACTAATACGTGGTCGAGATCAATCATTTTTAGAGACTCTATACTCTGAATCTTGGTGACATTCTGTTCTCTAATGTTTGATTGTTTTCATGTTATCTTAAAAATGAGTGAGCATAATAGTTCTTTATTGGTTTGTGGTAGACATTATGCAAACGTTTAACATCGCTAATAAAGATGAAGGCGCTTATTACTTGTTTTAAAATCTCCTTTATGTAGACTTAATAAAAAAGTTAGTTTTAACATTGACTGGTTTTAATTTGTATTCCTTAACATGATTAAAAATGGCTTATAAATATTACCGACCGTTTTCTACGTTGTTCGTGATATTATTTTAACACACGCTTACAACTCGTGGCAGAGCAGAAATCTAACCCTTGCTAGCGGGAAGGGTGAAGAGAGGGACATATCAATGATAGTACGCAGTTTGTATCAAGCAGGGTGTCTAGTTTATTTCCATTATAAAATTCAAGACTAATTCCAGACTTTTCAAGACTAATTCCAGATTTTTCAAGACTAGTTTTTACAACAATTAGTGGGTATTGATACCAAAATGTATCGATTCTCGATTCTTGATACCGATACTAATTTTTATAGCTTAACCAAATTTTCTAAATAATACCACACCAACCCCTGTCTTTGTCATAAAGTAGTATTATGATAATGTGGTGTTTTCAAGTAAAGAAATAATGCAGCAATAAAAAATTCTAACTAGCAAATTTGGTTTTATTTTTATCATGAAATCTTCCGCATACCGTACGTTTAGACATCATCATTGACTGCAGCGGTTACAGAAACGTGATTGTCGTCGTCCGCGATCACGGTAAAATCATGAACATTTCCCGCGGCCTTGTTGCCATCAATGACATCACCATTGTCTCCCGCGGTGTCAGAAACGTCATCGTCATCGTCTGCGATCGCGGCTAGATCATGAACATTTCCCGCGGCTGTTAAGATATCACCGTCATTTCCCGCGGTCACGGAAACGTTATCGTCGACGTCCGTAATCACGGCAAAATCATGAACATTTCCCGCGCCCGTGTAGACATCATCGTCGTCTCCCGCGGTCACGGAAACGTCATCGTCATCTCCCGCGTTCACGGAAACGTCATCGTCGTCTCCCGCGGTCACGGAAACGTCATCGTCATCTCCCGCGGTCACGGAAACGTCTCGTCGTTGTCCGCGATCGCGACAAAATCATGATCTTTTCTCGTGGCCAAGCAGATATCATCGTCGTCTCCCGCGGTCACGGAAACGTCATCGTCGTCTCCCGCGGTCACGGAAACGTCATCGTCGTCTCCCGCGGTCACGGAAACGTCATCGTCATCTCCCGCGGTCACGGAAACGTCATCGTCATCTCCCGCGGTTACGGAAACGTCATCGTCGTCTCCCGCGGTCACGGAAACGTCAGCGTCGTCGTCCGCGATCGCGACAAAATCATGATCTTTTCTCGCGGCCAAGCAGATATCATCGTCGTCTCCCGCGGTCTCGGAAACGTCATCGTCGTCTCCCGCGGTCACAGAAACGTCACCGTCATCTCCCGCGATCGCGACAAACTCATGAACATTTCCCGCGGCCGAGCAGATATCATCGTGTCGCCTCCCGCGGTCACGGAAACGTCATCGTCGTCGTCCGCGATCGCGGCAAAATCATGAACATTTCCCGTGGCTGTTTAGACATCACCGTCATCTCCCGCGGTCACGGAAACGTTAAATCGTCGTCGTCCGCGATCACGGCAAAATCATGAACATTTCTCGCGGCCGTGTAGACATCATCGTCGTCTCCCGCGGTCACAGAAACGTCATCGTCGTCGTCCACTATCGCGGCAAAATCGTGAACATTTCCCGAGGCCGTGTAGACATCACCGTCAACGCAAGACGACGATCGCGGCAAAATCATGAAAATTCCCGACTTTGAAATCAAATTTAAGACTAAATCCCGACTTTTCAAGACCATTTTGAAATTCAATACTAATTCCCGACTTTCCCGATTTTCCCGACTACTAGACACCCTGATCAAGGATTAGTGGGTCGACGAAAACTTTTTACTGACCGCGAAGTGCTTCATTTAGTCACGGTTTAGCTTGGAAACAGATTGTTTTGGTAGTAAAGGATTGTTATGGTTGTTCCTAAAAAGTAGGAAGGAAAGAGTTGAGAACTTAGCAGTGCCGGTCCTTATGATGCATCGACTGGCGGTGCTGCGCTGTGCGGATGCTTTGAAGAAGCCTGCACGCGCTCTCTTTGCCGACGCCCACACTACATCAGTTTGTTCAGAGGACTGACCAAATATATTTATAAACCTTAAGAAACATACTAAAATTTTGTTTCTGACACATTTTGCGTATTTTATTTGGAAAAAATATATAGAGGGTAAAACAAAATTGTGTACTCTAAAACATAAACATTATAAAAAAGTTAAAATGTTATATCTCTTTAGATATAGTTTTATAAAAAAATCTATAGTACAAAAGTTGTAGATAAACTAATTATAAATAATACAAATTGAATTTCACTACGATGGCATGTATAGAATTTGAATTATATCCAGTAAAGTGAACGACTGTAATTACCAGGTTTGGAGGGTGTTGGGGGGAAAAGCTCAAGGGGGAGAATCGGCAACCTTTTGAAAATACACATCTTAAGTGGTTCCATCACATATAACAAACTCAGCTTTCCACTATTTAGCTACGAAAAAAGGCAGTTTGTGCGTTTATTGGATGGGCTAGATGCGATGACGCAGCGCAGAGGTGTTCAACTAGCCCGCACGCGCTCTCTTTGCCGACGCCCAGCTTTTCACCCGGTCACGTAGATGACTAACCAATAATATATTTGTAAACCTTGAAAAACGTACTAAAACTTTTGTACAGACCATATTTGCGTATTATTTCTATTTAAAAGTATACATAGAGAAAAACTATATTTTGCACTCTGAAACAAAGCTTTTAACGAAGTTTAAATTTTATATCTCCCTAAGTATTGGTTTTAGAAAAATGCTATAAAAAAAAAGTTGTAGAAAAACTAATCAGAAATAAAACAAAACAAATTGCAGCTCGATAGCTTACATAGTATTCAAATTATGACCAATTAAGTAAAACACTGCAATTTCTAGGTTTGGAGGGTGGTGGGGGGAAAGCTCAAGGGGTAGAAGTGGGGACTTTTGGGAAAATACACCTCTCATGTGGTTCTATCAGATATAAAAAATCCAGCTTTCCACCATTTAGTTGCGAAAAAGGGTTTTTTATTGCATTCATTGACTGGGCTAAAAGCAGCTGTAGGCCTACAGTAGGCCTACTGTAAATGATTCAATAATTTTCTACTAAGTTCTTACCTTTAGTATTTTTAGTCTGATTGAGACTTTGCATTTTTTGTAACCACAACGCTCTAGTTCCCAGCCTTCTTCATTACATAGATATGAATGGCAAAACTTGATTAATGCTTTCTCCCATTTTTCTGTTGCAACAGATCTTCGGATCTTTCTCAACAGTTTGACATGCAAATCAATGAGTTCCGGTGGAACTGAAAATAATATAACACATTTATTATTAATTACGTCAATAGTTTGTTTCTTGTTATATCAATTATTATATTCTGTATAATATAAATGGAGATTATTTTAATTTTAAAATCTCCATCATAGTCGTAATAACGAGCTAGCAAAATAATAGACGTGAGGGTTAGTAAAACTATCACTGAGAATAATTACAACTCTACAAGCTGTTCTGTTATTGACTGTGTGTATAGCCTTCAACTCTGGCGACGCAATGCCCACATTTTTAGATCTTCCAGGACTCGCATTTTAGACCTTCTGGGACTTGGACCTTCAGAAATTTTTAGACCATCCGGGACTTAGACCTTTGGCAACTCTCATTTTATAAACATTTAGGGCCTATTTACAAAATATAGGTTGTGTGCCCAAGGTCTAAATCCCGCAAGGTCTAAAACAGTATCAGTGGGTGCGTTTTCTGCATTGACTGTATACTTTTAGACCTTCCGGGATTTAGACCTTCTATAAAAGGTATAAATTTACCTGAGTACAGCCAGAGTGATTCTGTTACTGTAGTCCTTACGGATAACGCGTTTTGAAGACTAAGTCTTCATCATCAGATCTTGTACAAGAACATTACTTTGAAAAGGTCGTCACGAGTTTAAATACAAAACATGGACACATATTATATACAAACGTGGACGTTTTATGAATAAAACCGAGTAGGCCTACCGACAAAAACTTAAATGTCCGACCGCACAGTTACAGATGAAGGTCATGACTGCGATGCGAGAGGCAGTCGGACGGTGGACTTTGTACCTCTCGGCTCCTTGTTCATCAGCTATACTTGGTTTTTTATTTTTTATTTTATGTTTTGGCAAAAAAATCATTACTCAGTAAGTATTTATAATATCATAATGGAACTTTAACTAAAATTTTCAGGAAATCTTGTAGAATTAAGGAAAAATATGTTTAGGTAGGGTCTATGGGGATTTTTATTTTAGGCTATGTTTCATTCAGTATCCCATCAAACTGTAATTCTGGTTTAATTTTTAGAAAAATAACACAGTGTTGAAAAATATTTCTAAAAATTATAGGCACTAACTTATGTAAACCAAAGGTCTTTATTTATATTTATGTTCTTAACACATTGAGCGCTGAAAACCTTTAAACAGGCGCTCGCCAATGGCGGCGAGGCCCGGGCGAACCCCGACTGAATCAGCGATTGCTATTGGCATTGAAATATCTCAGTAAGACGAATCACAAAAGAGCAGCCAGTGGTGATTGTTCTGCGTTACCCCAATAGTGGACGTAGTTCACTGAAACACCCAAAGGTAGCAGCAGTGCCTGGATCAATAACCAGAGTCTTAGTAATATGGCTCGAATAGAGAAAATCTCCAAAAACGGGACAAAAGCATTGTGATATTATACCGTACTTACTGAGTAATTAATGATATTTTGGTGGAATTTTTGCATGAGGTCATTGCATTAGGTACCATTAATGACTAACTTAGGAATGGATTGCACCCTAAGCTGGGGTAAGGTGGAATCTTTGGATGAGGTAATTGCATTCCCACTAATGATTAGGAATGGCATCCACCCTAAGCTGGGATCAGGTGGAATGTCTGCATGATGAGGTTTGCATTACATGAAATTTTGTAAAGAAACTTTAAAACTTGTTTTGTGTTGTATCTGATCAAATCTTGTCAATATAATTTATTTGGCCAATATATGCTTTTTACACTTAGCTTACAAGGTCTATAGGCCTTCAGGGTGCCGGTATTAGGATGGCGGATAACGGAATTAGGGTTATGTCGTGCCGGAATTAGGAAAAGGAATACCTTTAAAATATATTTCTTAAGCCTAGGCCTATATAAAATTTATTTTGAGGAATATTTTGATTAACCCTCCGAGTGTCCATAGTTTAGGCCTTAATGTCCGCCTATTTTTGGCGCATTTGCAAAGTTTTATTAAAACCGATCTGAGAAGCTTAAAACAATGTTAATTCTACTGTTCTATATACCATTTTGTTTGGAAAATCATGGGCTTCAATATTATACATAAAACATAAGGAACATTTGTTTCAAAAAAAATTTTTAGGTAAAAACAAATATTTTGGAAAATTAAAAAAAAAAATAAGTTTGCGCTCAATGAAATTGTATAAATTATAGGCCTAATTTGAAAATAGCCACTTTGTTCTAAATTTTATGAGGATTACAAATATATAATAATATAAGGAAGTAGATTTGCAAATAAATAAGTTATGGGCAAAAAACAGATTTCAGTACATAGCGTTTAGCTAAGAATGCATAGCCTAACCATAGCTAGGAATCTGGCTGATAATTTACATCAATATCACTACCTACTTCTTCGGGATCATCAACCAGCCCTTCAAAATCACTTAAATCTTCTTATAATGCACCACGTATATCACTACTTTTGATTTTTAACACTAAAACAATGATAAACGTAATAAAACACATCAGTCATCGGTCCGAGGGTAACCTAGCTATTTACAAATACGCACGTCAGCTGTCTGCTACAATTACGATCGGCTCGGAGAACATACAGCGCTGAGACAGACCTCTGGAGAAAGCTTAGAATATAACGAAAAGAACGATACCTAACTCGATCCAGTTCAATCCGATTCAGTCAGTCATAGAGCCTTTGCCGTAAACGATGTTCGCGCGTCGAAAAATCGACGCGTGCACAAAGTGTGTCGCGACGAGTGACGCTCGGAAGGTTATGTGTTTTCTTTTTATTCTAGAAATGTGTAGGCCTATGTTTAGATAAAATCAGTCCCATAATGATAAGTAATTGCCTTCTCCCATTCAAAAAGAATTTATTGAAGATTTATCCTTAACCTGCCAGTATTTGGCAAATATTTGATATATCGTGGACTGTAGACTGAGTGAGCAAGGTTTAGTGAGCAAACAGCTGTTTATGCTAGACTTAATGTGAAATGAAATCAATTTGTTTTGAAACCAAATAATCAGTTCTTATTTAGGCATGTGAGGAAGGTAGGTCGGGTTTTATGCGGATTCGTGACTGTATTAAGTGTTTTGAAGTGAGGTTAGGTTAGGAAGGTGTTAGGTTTTATAATGAACCGACTCATTAATTTATGCTAGGCCTACTTCCAGACTGTTTTTGCATAAATTAATGAGTCGGTTCATTATAACCTAACCTTTAACTTACCTAATCTAACCTCACTTCAAAGGACAATACAGTCACGAATCCGCATAAAGTCCGACCTATCTTCCTCACATGCCATTTCTGACATAAAATGTGATTTAAACATTAATATTAAGGTTGGGTTGGGTTAGGTTAGATTAGATTAAATTATGTAACATCATTTATTAACTTAGTTGATGATACAGGAAATTATGCACTGTGGCACGTTTTCACAAATTAGGCACAATGGGATCGTATACTATGGGATTATGCACTATGGCACGTTCATTAACAGACGTTGAGGATTGGAATGAGGACGATCGTGTCGGCAGTGGCCTAGCTTCTATTACCGTCAAACGGGGCTACTTTATAAAACTTTTTTGATTTTTGGCTGTAACTTTTTTGTTTTAAGAGATAGGACCATGAGAAAAATTCCAAATTGTGCATTTCAGTTAGTTCTTTTGAGTGCTACATTTGAAAAAAATCTATATTAAATACTTTGGCAAAAAGGGGCTACTTTGTATGATGAACTTTAATGCCTTGTCACAATGTAACCACTGGTTAAAGGGGTTACTTTGATACTTCTATTGAAAGCTGGGTTTATTATGATTATTTTGGCATGACTCTGGTTATTCTACTTTTTATAGTTTTTGATCTACGACAGGTTTTTTAAAATGCCGTTCTGAGATTTCCGAACTTTACAAAGGTTTTTAAAAAAAATCATATCCAACCTAAAACAAAGGATTAATGTGCCAACAAAACCAGTTTTTAGTGTAAAAAAGGCTAGAATTTAAGGAAAAAATTAGTAATAGTATGTAAGTACGTCTTGTATTGTATTTTGTCGTAGCCGTGAAATAGTGCTCCAGAAGCAAGGGTCGCAACTCCCTTTCAGACGTCTGGTCTGCTGAACGATGCTCGTGATTTTATTGGATGTTTAGTCCCTGGAACTTGTGTTTGAACACAACATGTCCTCTTCTGTTCAGGGAAGGCTCACTTAAAATGTTTATGATGTCATCATATGGAACATGATCTTCATCAACGTAGGCCTAATCCGGCCACTTAAAAACTTGTTCTGTGTCGGTTACTTTTCTAATAAATCGGACCTCACAAACCTTATTATGATAATCAATACTTAGGCCTATTATCTGGCTAACAAAGTGAAGTTGACGTGCCTTTTTTATATACTTCACCACTAACCATGTTAGTGAACATAAACCAATAAAATAAAGAGTGTCAAAGTAGCCCCTGGAAGTAAAAATCTTGGACAATTAAAAAAAAAATTTTTTTCCCTTAGGGTACTTAACAATTTATATATTAATATGTATTTTTATCATCCCAGATAGATGAACTATTCATTAATATATTCCAAAAAAAAATTGATAAAAGTGGGTAGGTTGTGCATACAGAAGTTCGGGGACGTTTTTTTTTTTCGCGAAAAAATCGATTCATGTTTAAATATTTTTTATGATAACAAAGAATAAACTTATATATATTTTTGAGTGAGTGTGAAAATATGATTACCAATGTTATAAGGAAGATTTTAATATATAGGCCTAAGTTACCATGGTTACTACTAAAACTAAAATTTAAAAAAATATTTTAGGTAAAAACAAAAGTTTTATCATTGTAGCCCCGCGAGTCAAAGTAGCCCCGGTTTACGGTCTACTGATATTTTACGTGAATAAATTCTATTTCGTTTTATAATTTATGTTGATGTGATTAATAGTTTATGTATCGTAGTTGATTTATTTTATTTTCTAAACAGCACCAAAGTCCATTTTCTTTTAAAAATCTAGTTATTGCATATTGTAACTCTGATTTTTCTCTCATGGCGTCATGTGTGGTTTTGTCTGTTTAGTATCGAATGTAAACAACTGACAGCTGTTTCCACTAAACAAACCTTCCACCCCTTTTAGTGTTAGGCGCCACTAGAACTTAGACTCGTCCATACCATAAATATGTTAATAAATCAACAAAACTGAAGCTTAATGTTAATTATTTAACTGTACGGCCACTTAGGAATCCCTCCGATTTTTGGATTCAGCGTGAAAAATACTGTAAGTAGACATCTAAAAATTACACGATATTGTAGAAATATCAAATAATTACCGGGCTGTTTACCTTATCAGAGCTAGGAGTTGGTAAGACGTTTAAGTTAGGAACTAGAAGGAACGTCAGTTCCAGAAGCCTAACTTAAATGATATTAAAATAGGCATAACTTATGAACATTTTTACTAAAAAGACTGTTTATAAAATATAACTTGATCATTTTGGTTTTTTGAAAAAAGATTTTAAATGCGTTGGGCCTACCAAATGATCTTGAAAACCCCCTCCACCTCATCTGTAAGCTAAGCTGTGCTAAGCCAAAATCCTCTCTCCGTCCTTAAGCGTTACGTAATATGTGGACGGCCTATTAAGCATAAAGTTAATTTTAAAAAAAATGCACTATAGGCCTAGGCATAGGCTAGGTGGCTAGGCATTCCTTGATAAAGCCGCGTTTACACCGAAGTTTCAAACAAAAAGTGGCAAACTTTTATTGCAAACAACAGTAGGCCTACCTACTTAGTTTCAAATAAATGTTTTCAATTTTATTTCATGATTTGTTTCCATGTTTCATGAAATTGTTTGAAATAATTTTGACCTTGATTATGACTTGCCTCGTTCTGGTTCCTCGGATCAGTCCTTCCGAGGATGTCAAGTGTCGAGGATGTTAGCCCTGGTGGCGTGTGTCGTGTTGTCAAAGTAACGTAGGCCGAGACGATGCTGGGTGAACATCGGTAAATGTATAAATCATCAAATTAAAATTATTATTCATTTTTAAAGATTATAAGGACTCAATTATAACCCTTTTACTTAGGTAATTCACATGAGACGTTACTGTTATTTTTAAATTAGACGACCTTGTCATTAGAGGTTAGTGTTAATTCATTGACAGTCAAACAGCATTTTTCCGATTAATTTAACACTGAGTCGAAACACAGGGTGGTGCGAGTGATCACGTGAGTGAGAGTGGAGGTGGTAGCGTAGGGGATGGCGGAGAAATGTTTCTGATTCGTGTTTCAACGGCTCATATTGACCGATACTAGTGTTGCAAACAAAGAGTTTGCAACTCCTTTGATCTTTACCGACTTCAAGTGGAAACAGAAATTTCTGTTGCAAACACTGAAAAACTGTTTGCAACAGCGAAATGTTTTGTCTAAAAATGTGCGTTTATAGAGATGTTTGCAATTTCTTTTTGCAACTCGTGTTTCAAACTCCGGTGTAAACGCGGCTTAAACCCCCCTTGATCCCTATTATCCTGTTGAAGTAACTTAAGGTCTAACTTAAGTTTAGCCTATATTAAACAAATCACTCATTTAACTTAGCCTAAGCCCAACTTATAAGGACACCAAGCTAAAAAAACAAAACAAGTCCTTGACCTGTTTACTAACTTAAGCATAGAAGTGCGAACTTTACTCAGCCACCCCTAATTAATTAATTGCTTTGGATAAATAAAAAAAAGGGCAGAGTAACTTAGGCCTGCATTAAACTATTACGTTTTTACATACCATCTTGGGTGTTTTCAATCATTTCTTGAAGTTCAGCAAATGTAGGATACGTAATACCACAAGTGATGGCAAAACGGTCGAAAAATGAACAAATTATGGCAAAATTCGGATCATTAGCACAGTAATCCTGACAGGGAGATTCCTTTTCAGACGCCATTTTCAATGTAGGCCTAGGAATAGGATGCGATATTATTCACGGAAATTTTTGTTTCCTATTAATGGTCAAAACGGTCCAGTAAAAAATCTCAGAATCATATCATAATAGTGATGGCAACAATTCTTGAACACAATTACAATATAACATCACGATAAACACTGCACTTCAAAATATACCATAGCATCAAACATTTACATTTTCAATAATAATTCTGTCAGCCATTGCTGACTGAGCGGAGCGAGCGAGCTGAACTTTATAATCACAGGACAGGACAGGAGTTTAGTCGGCGCCGGCGGTCAGATTCGGATCGGATTCAGATTCATTTATGTTTACAGCTAATTCAAAACGATCAGATTTCAGAGTTGAATTTATCGTGGGGTCCCAGTTTATCGACATCCCAAAAGATCGACACTGAAATAGTCCCACTATGTCGACAACTCAAAATGTCGACAGTGTCGGTAATATGGGATGTCTGTAAAGTGGGATGTCGGTTATGTGGGATGTCTGTTATGTGGGACGGTTGTGTAAATTTTCCCACTTTATCGACACGCAAAATGTCGACAAGCAAAACAGATCGACAAAGAGCGGGAGATTCAAATTGAAGGTGAACAGCTCTTGCTGAACAGATCGGTTGAGTATAATGAGAGTCGTTCTTTTTTTAACTCCGAACGACTTCTATTCACGGCGCTCGCAACTTGCAGTCTCCTTCAAATTTGTCAATGCTATCTCAACTATCTTGTGTATATAATATGTGTTCTGCCGTTTGAAGGCTTAAAATAATTTGACATTTATTTGTCGCACTTGTATTATGATTTATTAACTGTTTTTTTTTCGTGTAAGAAGGTAGTTAAAACTTGCTACCTAGGCCAAACTTTGCTAGAGGATGATTATGGTATCCATCAAAGTTTTTTCAATCATACATTTATTTGAAATATATGTTTATATAATGACATAGTAGGGGTGTACATAGTTTTTCATTTAACTTGCTAGCTTAATGTTAAAACAGATTAATCCAAATAACAAATTTACGTTGTTCATTGTTACACTTTGAAATATTAAATGAGTTGTAGTACATTTGTATCAGCAACTTACACAGGAAATGAGGAAATTAAAAAACTGCGTTAATTTGCCTAAACAAACTGCAGATGCTTTGATTCTTCTGTTAACCTTTCCATTGCCAATATGGCGATCCATAAAAAGCAATGACAACATAAAATTTAGCAATAATTTCTTTCCAAACTATTTTGTAGAGCTTAATAACAAATTATTTAGTATATTGAAGCATTATTATGCACCTAATAGTTACGGAGAAAACTCAAACCGTTTTAAATTTAAAATCCCAATGATATTCTTATGGAGAATAAGTAAACTGTTTTAGTTAGCTTGTTTATGAACATCTTTTGATCAAAATTTGAAAATGCATTTATTTCATACTAAACTACCTACATGTAATAATATTAAAAAAAACCTTTAAAACCCTCCCTGTTACAACATACCTAAGTACTTGTTAAACTAATGCTATATTGAAGTAGGGAATAATATTGTGATATTTTAAGGAGATAGTGTAAATCCAATCAAGCAAATGGAAATTCGTTTAGTCTGCAGGTTTGCTGCGGGGGGTATTTTATTTTTTTTTATCACAATTTTATTTACAATCTGTTCATTTTTAGAACATTTAGCAAATACAATAACAAATTTTAATAAAACGTTAGTTAATCTCTGTCCATTGACAGAGCTAACTTAAAAATATTTCAATGAAAACATAAATATGTAAATAAACAAGGGAAAATTAAATTGTTCAAACAAAACGTGTGCTTAGACCCAAAACATGAAATGAAATGAAATGAAATGAAATGAAATGAAATGAAATGAAATGAAATGAAATGAAATGAAATGAAATGAAATGAAATGAAAAATTCTTTATTTTACCAGGCAAAGTTAGGGCCACATGGCCCTCTCTTACACTTAACCTGACAAACTTAAATATAAATAAATAAAAATACAATGACATTTCTTAATCTAATATAAAAACACATATTTAACACATCAAGTACAAGTTAACAAAAATTCAATCTATTTAACTAATTAACTAATTAAAAAAAAATAGTAATTTTATAAATTTGTAGAATATACAACAGAAAAAAAACTTTCACACTCTCACACGCATACGCACCAGTAATCGCGCAAAGACGCAGAAGCCCTAGGACACGCCAGCCGAGACCATTTGCTCAAAGTAGAGATTTTTTAGTGCCGCCACAAACTGGGAACGTTTATCAAGGGATTTAATGTGTAGGGGTAGGTTGTTCCAAAGACGGCAAGCGGTAACAACAAAAGCCCTGTCATAAGCGGTGGTCACATGACGAGGTATACGCAAACATGAATCCTTTTTAGCCTGTATATACTGGTGCTGTTGTCCAAGAGGTTTAGAGCCAGGTGATTAGGGTGATTTTCAAGTTTCTTTAGATATTTTGCACTAAATTTGGTTATTTCCTCTTCAACCGTAGGAATTCCACTGTCCTTGTGAAGGATATTGTTATTAACATACCACGGGGCTTGCAGAATGAACCTTAAAACTTTTGACTGAAATCGTTGGATAATGTTTATGTTCGACATACTGGACGTTCCCCACAGTTGGATTCCATAAGTCCAAATTGGCTTCAGTATTACTTTGTATAGTAATAATTTATTTGCAATGGTCAATTTTGATTTACTATTTAGGAGCCAGGAAAGATTTTTAAATTTTAAATTTAGGAACATTCTTTTATTCCAGATATGGGTTTTCCAGGTTAATCTTTTGTCAATCGTCATGCCGAGATATTTCACTTCGTGGGATTGCGGAATTTGGACATTATTTAAGGTTACAGGAGGACAAGTACCTAATCTGGTAGTGAAGGTCACATGAGTAGATTTGCTCTCATTCACTTTTATTTTCCATGTTTGCAACCATTCTTCTAAGTCATCTAGGGAATTTTGAAGATTAAGTGAAGCTACCACTGGATCAGGATGGGACGCTAAAATAGCTGTATCGTCAGCAAAAGTGGCCACAGAAGTATTCACATTTTCAGGTAGATCGGCTGTAAACAGAGTATATAGTACAGGTCCGAGAACACTTCCTTGGGGAACGCCAGCTTGAATTGGGTACAATTTTGTAATGCTATCTCCAAATTTAACTCTGAAATATCTGTCGGTTAGGTATGATTTAATTGTCATATAAAATGTATGAGGAAGATTCAGTTTGAGTTTATAAAGTAGGCCTGTGTGCCAAACTTTGTCAAAGGCTTGACTTACATCGATAAAGACAGCTGTACAATAGTTCTTTTTCTCAAGGTCTTCTTTAATTGTATTAACCAATCTATGTACTTGTTCAACTGTGGAATGCTCCCGTCGAAACCCAAACTGATGATTTGGAATCAAGTTTCTGTCCTCTACTTCTTCAAGTAGACGATTCAAGAAGAGCCTCTCAAACAATTGGGATGTTATTGGAAGTAGACTGATAGGTCGATATGAACTTGCTTGTTGAGGTGGTTTTCCTGGCTTTGCTATCATGACTATTTCTGAAACTTTCCATTGTGACGGGAAATACTCAGTCCGTATAATTGAATTAAAAATGAGTGTCAGGTATATGAATGCTTTTCTAGGAAGCTCTTTCATTACTTTTCCCGTGATTAAGTCGTATCCAGGGGCTTTAAACAGTTTTAATTTGTTTACAAGTTTACAGACTTCTGAGGGAGTAAAGGGCTTTATTGGAGGTGATAACTGATTTGGTGAGTCAATGAACTCAAGAATTTCGTCAAGATTATTAAAATTATTATTTTGATTTTGATTGGGAGTAAACACTGCGGCCAAGTGGTTTGCAAACACTTCAGATTTTTCAATATCGTTTCTTGCCCAAGTTCCATCGGACTTAGAGAGCGGGGGGTATTTAAAATAAATCATAAAGTTGTTACAGTGTTTACAAACACACATCAGAACCACCTGTAAACTGTAATGGCTGCTTAAGAAACTTAAACACCTTATCTAAATGCAGTAGGTATAAAAAAATAGTATATGCCTACTGTATTAGGTTACTAGCCAGGTAAGCGGTAAGGTGTTTTATAGAAGGCGTAGCCGAGTACGGGATTTTCGTGCGACACAATTTATTTAGGACAGAACATAAATTAGATTTTTTTTTTCTGAAAATAAAATAGGCCGCTGAAATTAGCTGTTTATTTCAACAGCTGACTAAGTACACTGTAATAGTATATTACGTTACTAGTCCTGAAAATAAGTGTGTTTACCGGACGAGTGTGGTCGTTCTCGTGCGAGACGAAGTCGAGTACGGGATTACCATACGAGTCCGGTACACACATTTTGGACGAGTTACGTACGTTAGTTTACGCCATACTAATAAATCTGTACAAATCCTTATATATTCCCACCAACTAAAGGACTAAAAATCACTACTCATTATGTTTTTGTTTATAACCATTCATTGCCACCTAAATACAGTATAATCAGCTGATTGGTGTCCGGTAACACTCATTACAGTATAGTAGTACAGTACGCAATGAAACCCCAATTGAATAAGCTGGCGGCAAACAGCTGTTTTCTTGACTAAATCCTTGCGTGGGAAGTTCGTCAAAATAATGTAGTGTGGCGTAAAAGTACATTACGTTACTTTTCCGTGTTTAGGCATGGCAAAGGGTAACTTCCCATCCTATGGATGGAATAGGAAAAGTACCTGTTTCTGTGTAGTAAGATGTAAAGAATTTTATTACACACAAGGTTAGGTGTTAAAATTAAGTTTTTAATCTTAGATCCATAACAGGCCTAGATATGTAAACTTGCAATTCTAACCACGTTCTCCTCCCGTTGTGAAGCTCGGTTACTATATAGACATACCACGAACAAAACAACCTGCTTATAGCAGCTCGTATTTTCTTAAAAATGTCAGATTATTTCTTTGTTAAATAAAATGAAATAAACAAAGATTACCAAATTTGATTAAGTAAAATCCAAGAACAAGAAAACTAAAAAAGTTTTGTTATTATCCTTAAGAACTTGGGAACTTCTTATACATCCTCAACCGGTTAGGCATGCAACAATAAACTAAATTATTTCTTTTTTAGCGAATTTCCCATATAGGGAATAAGCTATTACCGTAGTACTCATCGTAAGACCTGGACCCGGGACCGATTTACTTTTTTATTTTGAGGTCCCTAGAGACCAAAAACA